CGAGCCACTTCCCCGGCATCCTTGTCACTGCGAACTGGGAGCAGCACATGTCGCTTCTCTTCCCAGGAATGATCACCTTCTCTCAAGATTATGTGGCCAATGAGCTCACTCAGAACTTCTTCACCATCACCCAGAAGATTCAGAAGAAAGTCACGGGCTCTCGGAACTCCGCTGAGCTCTCAGAGATGTTTCCTGTCCTGCCCGGCTCGCACTTGGTGCTTAATAACCCTGCCCTGGAGTTCATCAAGTATGTGTGCAAGGTGAGGGCCGGAGGAGGAAACTCATTTACCTCCCCCAACACTGCCCACTGTTCTGCACACCCCGTGTGAGCTATCAGTGAGGGGCCCTCTGATGGGGCCTGGGCCTAAGACCACAGTGACCAGGCACATCGTTCCAGGAAGGAATGATGTCTGGGCAGAGGGGGTGAAGGCCGTGGGGTGGAGTGATCTGGGGGTGCTGGTGAAACAGCAGGTGCTCGAGGTCCTGTGAGGCTAATGGACGAACCAGCGACCACACGGAGCTCCCAAAACACCCAGGCTTCTGGGAGCTCAGAGGAGAGATTGCATGAGTGCCAAATACCTTTCTGGGAAAGGAGACTGAGTCAAAGGTGGAATACTGTTACCAGACGAGAGCAAGCAGCACCTCTCTGCTCATGAAGTCACCTCCCGGCCACTGCATCTCACGGTGACGGACACGCCAGGATCAGGTGGCAGCAGAGCTTTAGGGGAGGGAGAGACCTCCTGACAGGAGGGTCTGCTGGCTGCCCCTCGACTCTGCAGGCCCCTGGGTGGGCCGGGCAGTCCCTCACCTGAGAGTGGACATCAGCCACTTCACACGTGAGATTGTAAGGCTCCAGGAGACAGGACTGCCTGTCACTCGGGGGAAAGGAGCCAGTGAGGATGACCGGCAGAGCCCGAGTCCCCAGAGGGAACCACTGCTGCAGGGGAGGCAGCTGATGGGATGGGGAGTGTGAGGGGGTGCTCAGCCACAAGGTCTTCAGTCCAGACAGAGCAGCAGGAGGCCCGGAGCTGCCCTCACCGCCCTGTTCTCTGCAGGTCCTGTCTCTGGACACAAATATCACCAACCAGGTGAACAAGCTCAACAGGGACCTGCTCCGCCTGGTGGACGTGGGCGAGTTCTCCGACGAGGCCCAGTTCCGAGACCCCTGCCGCTCCTACGTGCTCCCCGAGGTCATCTGCCACAGCTGCAACTTCTGCCGGGACCTGGATCTGTGCAAAGACCCGTCCTTCTCCCAGGTGGGAGCGCCCACCCTGCGTGACCCGCCTCCACCTTGTGGGTGACATCCTAGCTTTGGGGTGAACTAGGACCTGGCACCTTTTCTAAGGCACTCGGCTACCGGGTGCAAGAACACCATCCATAAGCATATTAGGATGGTGTCGGAGTGGAAGCGTGCCCGGGGCCAAGTGACTGCCGCACGCCATCATGTGCCTCTCGCTGTCACGAAGGCTCTGCCCCGTCTCCTCAAAGCTGGTCCCTCTTGGAGGGCACTGCCAGGGAGGTGGGCAGTGGGTGACCTGCTCTCTTTCTGCCCAGGACGGGGCTGTGCTGCCCCAGTGGCTCTGCTCCAACTGCCAGGCCCCCTACGACTCCTCGGAGATCGAGATGGCCCTGGTGGAAGCCCTGCAGAAGAAGCTGATGGCCTTCACCCTGCAGGACCTGGTGAGCAGTGGGCCTCAGGTCATGACCTGGTCCGTCGAGATGACCACCTGTTAGGTCAGGCCTCATCCACAGCCCATGACTCAGTCTTAAAGCTCCTGTTGGGCACCTGGCCTCCCGGGCCTTCCCTTCTGGTGGAGGGAGAGAGATGGCCAATAAGATCAAGGGTGTGAGTGGGCTGAGGGTCCAGACCCAGCTGGTGTGTGTGTGTGTGTGTGTGTGTGTGTGTCACGGAGTGCTCAGCATTCAGTGCGGGGAGTGGGGACCATGGGGTCTGGGCAGGAACATTGGTGCCTGGTGTGACCGGGTAGGTGGCCCACAGCAAGGGGGGGAAGCAGCTGGCGTTGGGTGAGCCCGCTGTGCGGTCTGGCTTTAATCCACAGTGGAGGTGCAGGCGGGGAGTGGGAGCTCTTGACTGGCGCTTCCTCGTTTCAGGTCTGCCTGAAGTGCCGGGGTGTGAAGGAGACCAACATGGCCGTGTACTGCAGCTGTGCGGGCGGCTTCGCCCTCACCATCCACTCCAAGGTCTGGCTGCTGTTCTCACCCACTCCGCTCTCCCTACACTCCGGGCCTCTGCCCACATCCCTAATCTCTTCTGGGACTGGCTCTCATGGCGACCGGTTCTTCTGCAGGTCTTCATGGAGCAGATCAGAATCTTCCGGAACATTGCACAGCACTATGGCATGTCATACCTCATGGAGACCCTGGAGTGGCTGCTGCAGAAGAACCCCCAGCTGGGCCATTAGCAAGGCAGGCCGGTCCCTTTTCTGCCCCACCTTCCATCTGGAGACCATCCCCAGGACTCGGCACCAAAGAAAAGGACCCTCAGGGTGCTTTCGGGGAGGGATCGCCTGGCCCAGACCAGCCAACCAGCCAGAGCAGGAGCTCAGGCTTGGTCAAGGTGGCCAGGGGCCCATGGGCCCCAACGGGTGGTTCTTGTGCATAAACACGTGTGGCTTCTGTGCTGCCGCAGGGCCTGGCCCTCCTGCCTCCCTCCCCCCCTCCCATCCCCTTTGCCCTCGGGGCCTTCTGTTTGAGCTGAAGGCCAGACCCAGGGCCAGGGACGCCTGGCCAGAGACTGAGCTCTGCTCTACAGCCACTGTGACCTTCGAGACGCCCTCCAGGGCTTCACACATGCGTGTGGCCAGTTCCAGGAATCGGCCCTGAGCCCTTGGGGACCTGGGAGTCTTTCGGACAGCGGTTCCTGGTTCCAGGATGGCCGGCATCCCTGCACTTGGACTTGGACTTCCCTGTAGAGACTTCCTAGTCAGTAAGAAGGGTCAGGGGGGCAGGGGTGTCTGCATCAGGTGGTTCCCTCTTCTAGGCTGGGCTTCTCAGATGGGGCTTGACCATACCACCTGCCCTCAGAGCCTACCTGTGCCCCGAGGAGGCCTGGGCACGGGGCACACCATTGATCATGGGTTGTACAGCATTTGTTAACCTCTTGGACTTAGAAAAGTGATCTTCCCCCACAAGTTTTTAGGTTCTTTCCTTCTCGGGAAGGGGAAGCAGCAGCTTCATCAGGTGGAGAAGCTTTCTGTTCTTGTTCCTCAGCTCAGGTCGCCCTGGGACCTGGGACCCTGCAGGGCACCAGCTCAGTGTCCAGCCCAGGTCTGGAGCCTTTGCTGAGTGCCAGCCTCTCCCTCCATCTGTCTTCAGCCCCAGAACCTAAGACGAGCTCTGTGCACCTTTTACACAAAATAGGGCTGCGAACAGGACAAAAAAACCCACCCACCCAATGTAAAAAACACCCAGTCGGTGAGGTGGCAAATTCAGAAACCTTGAATGGGAGGGCCGGGGGCCTCACAGCCTGGTTTGATCCTTACTCACTAATTTCTGTTGAAGTGTGAGCTGTATGTTTGCACACAGCTTCCCGGTCTCTGGAAGGGAGGGAGGCCGACCAGCTGGCAGCTGTCTGTGCGCCAGCCTTGACCCCTGGGTACCACCCGCCCGGCTGGGCCAGGCCCAATGGCCAGGAGAAACCTGACGCTGGCTGGAAGGTGGATGGAGCCCACATCAGCCCCAAATGGAGATCAAATCAAATTAGGGCCTGCAAGGAAGGGGGGGGGGGGGGCGCTAACGGCTTCCTGGTAATGATGCTGGAGACAGATGTGCAGGGGGAGGTGGGTCTGGCCCACGGCACGCTTGTCCCTGCAGCAGGATGGGCCCTGGGCACCCTGGTTTCTGCAGCTCCCAGCTGTGTCCTGGAGGTCAGCTTGGGTGGGGGCATTTGGGGTGCTAGGCCCTGGTCACTCTGCTTGGGAAACCTGAGCCCCTGGCCCTGGTTCTTGAGCTGCAGTCCAGCCCTGACTGGAAAAGCCAGTTTCTCCGAAACTAGAGCTGGATGTCTGTGAGCCAGACCCATGGGTGTCAGGCATTTGGGTGGCCTGTGCAGCCAGTGTCCGGGGGTGGGGGAAGGGGGAGGGGGAGGGGTGGGATGCTGGAGGTGGCTGCGTGGGACCAAATGGAGCGTTTGCTGGCTGCAGCTAGTGGGGCAAGCTCAATAGGCAGGTGGGGGGCCCCCAGGGCTGGTATGGTCTGAACCCTCCCCTTGAGCTTGGGAATGATGGGACCCCTGGTGAGGTCTGTGTAAGATGCTTGGCTCATGCCTCCTCACATCTGCACATGCCACTACTGTCGCTAGAGAAACCATGTCCAGCCAAACGGCTGTGCTGCTCAGTGTAATGAGTTGTACCTGAGGACATGGAGCCAGGTTACCCGCAGGCCTGGCCAGGCTAGTGCTCCTCCCTGCCATCCACTCACCACACCAGTGGCAGCCCAGCAGCTTTCCCTGGTGCCACTCATCCCCTCCCTCCTGGCCGCCATCCTCCTCACCATCCTTTCCCTTATGTGGGGGCTGGGGTGACCCCTACAGGGAGCTGGTGAAGGCACGGACCAGGGCAGTGCTGAGATAAGGCAGGGTCGTCACGCACTCCGCCTGCCTCCACCCCACCCCTGCTGGCCCCAGTCAGATGTGCTGGGCCCTGCATGGCTGGCTAGGCACCTGCAGCCCCTGCACAGGGACCCCCTGCTGTGTGTCCGTCTCCAGGGCCTCCACACTTTTCTCAAAACACAGGGCACAGTGGTACTGGTCACAGGTTTATTGGGTTCTGGCTAGGAGCCCGGCAGCGGGTGTGGGCGTGAGGAATGAGGATGGGAGTGGGGCAGCTGGGAGCAGAGTGTTACCCCCTTTCAGCCCACTGCCCAGTTGCATGGGGCCTCCCTTGGTCCCCAGCTGTGAGGAGGCTTGTGAGGGCAGGGATGGGCTCCATGCTGGTCCCACGTGCTTCAGGCCAGCCTTTGCAGTGAGGGGTGGAGGGAGCTTAGAGCTGGGCTAAACCTCGGGGGTCTGTGAGCGTGGAGTCCTGCTGGGGAGGCGCTGAGGCCCCGGGCCCTGGTCCTGCACCCCGATCAGGAGTGTCCACCATCTGCTCAGATGGGGCAGAGGTGGGGCCAAGCCGTGATGGTGGGACAGCCTGGGCCTGGCTCTGCCCCTCATCCTGTGGTCTGCCCGGGTCTGTGGAGCAGGTACAGGGGGGCGGAGGGGCCTGGCCCAGAACAAGGGCCAGGGTCACAGGCCAGCTACCCGGGGAATGCTGTGGCGTACACACCTTGTCGAATTTCTTGTGGCTGTAGACTTTGTTTTTGTTCATGAACGTTAGCAAGATCCAGTCGCACAAGAAGGAGCCCTGTGGCCAGCAAAACACATGTGAGGGCTTGACCTGATCACCCAGCACCACACGCACACATGCGTGCCCAGACCCCAGTGCGTACTCCTTACCACCCCAATGGAGGTCAGCGCCGTGGCCAGGTTAATGATGGTGGGGATCAGGCTGAACTTGCCCGCCTGGGGAGAGGAGGCTGCCTCAGACCAGCAGGGGTGGGTCGTGTGGTGGGGGCATGGAGCTCGGCCGGCCCACCTGGACCCATGAGGAGGGCCGGCTGGCCTACCTGCCCGTGCACGATGACGTCAATGCGGATCCCATAGGCCTTGATGAGGGTGCGGGTGGTGCTGCCGTTTATCATGTAATACTTGGCAAACCTGGGGCGGAAGGACCCGGAAGCACATCAGAACCTGGAACTGAAAGGCCAGATGCTGCCCGACCCTGAGGAACTGGCGGGGGGCGTGCCTGTTGTCAGAGGACAGCCCCATGACTGCCCATCTCATTTGCTCCCTAAGCCACCACGGGGTGAGGGCCCAGTGTCCCAGGGCCCAGGTACCTGAAGTTGTAGCCAGAGGAGGCCGGGGTGTGCTTGGGATCGAGTCTCCGGAAGGAGTACTTGGGGTTGCAGTTGGATGCCGGCAGGTCCAGGTCACAGTCCCAGTTGATGATGACCCCAATGACACCCCCCTGCCCAGAAGTGGGCACAGAGATGGGGTCAGGGTGGGCACACAGGACCCTCACCCTGGGTCCCACCCTGATGCGGTGCCGGGGGTGCACATGGGGGGGCAGCTTGGGGCTGAGAACCGGCGGGGGGGAGGGGGCACCCAGTTCTGGGGCAGGAGAGGAAGTCAGTGATTAGAGGAGCCACGCATGGCCAGGCAGGCGCCCTCACCATGCGGGCCAGCTCGGTGAAGTTCTCCCCGGCCTGCTCCACGATGAAGCCCAGCCGGAAGATGGGGCAGTACAGGTGGGACGCCTCGTCGAACAGGCAGTGCTTCAGGTAGCCATCCTTCCGCATCTCGATGTTGCCCCTGAGGAGCCAGGCGAGGCGGTGGCATCCTCAGGAGGCAGCTCCTCCCCTCCTGGCTCAGCCCGGCCCCTCCCACCCAAAGGCTCTTACTTGGAGAACTGGAACTTGGGGTAGTGGATGCTGTTCTTGATGAGGATGGTGAAATTGGGGGCCATCTTGCCAAGAAACTGGCTGCGGAGACAGACTGCAGGTGTTCAGTCTCCCCACCCCCTGCAGCCACACTGTCCCCACCCCCACACACCCGCTGAGGAAGGAGGAGCAGGGCGGGCCTGGGTCCCAGGGGGTGGGGCACACCTGACGGAGGCCCCATCTTCCACTGGGCACCAGCCAAACACCTCGCAGGTCTTGGAGTCCCCGTGGTAATAGGGTACACAGCGCCCCGTCCGGACACCTGTAGGCACACGCACTCAGGCGGAGAGGGCGCCCTAGCCCCGCACCCCCAGCACCCCGGGCGCACACCCACCGTTCCCCAGCATGTCCAGCTCCCCGGCCATACAGTCTTCGTCCGAGTGGCAGGTGGCATTGGTGACCCTCGAGCTCTGGGGAGGAGAGGGCTCTGTCAGGGGCCAGACACCCTCCCACCAGGGACAGCACCCGCCCCGGCCCCCCTCCCACTGGCCTCACCTCCGGACAGGTGCCCTGTGCCTGGGAGGAGGTGGCCTCGATCCTGGTGATGATGCTGAACACGCTGCCTCCCTGGGCTCGGAAAGAGGGGACTCCCGTTGGCTCTCCCAGCGGCTCCCGGCCTCAGCCCCACCCGCCCACCGGGGCGGGGCGCACCTCCGGGGGCTTCACGTACTCCTCCACGTCCCACACTTTGTGCTCCGAGGAGGTGATGCCCTTGACCTTGGTGATGACGGAGCTCTCGGGACCCGTCTCCCGGTCCTGGTAGCTCTTCTGCACGATGAACACGTACCTGCGGGGACACAGCCAGTTCTGGGGCGTCTGGGGCCCGCGCCCCGCCCACCTGCCCCTCTCCAAGCGCCCGGGGCCCTGCGTGCTCTCCGCCCCAGGGACCCCAGGCCCCCCTTGCACCCACCACACGAAGTAGAGCAGGATGAGCAGCTGCACCACGCGGTACACGACGCCCAGCTGCCGGTTCCGTACCACGATCACCTTGGGCGTCTCGTAGTCCCAGAAGGCGGACCAGCAGCTCCGGGCCAGGCGCCGGACCGCGGCCGCGCCCGCCGGGGGCTTGGGCTCCGCCGCCGCCATGGCCCCGCCGCGGGAGCCGCTGCCCTGGCCGCTGCGGGGCGCCGCGGGGCGGGGGCCGGGCTCCGGGGCGTGGTCTCGCCCGCCCCGCCCCGTTACCACCCCAAGTCGGGGTCCGGGGCTGCGATGGATGAGGGGGGTGTCTGGACGTCCGCGCACCGGGCAGGTGTCACAGGTGCACCCGGCGCGGGGCTCCCGGGAGGACCCGGCGCGGAGCGGGGGGGGGGGTCCCTCGGAGGACGCGGGTCTAAAGAATGGTCCGGGCGCAGGACTTCCCTCCCGTCTCCACCGGCAGCCGCTAAGCAGTGAGAACAGCTCGAGGGCAGTCCTTCCAATGCAGGACGCCCTGGCCGATGCGCCCCGCGGGTAGACTGGGCCTGGGACCCAAGGGTCCCGGGTTCGATTGGGTCAAGGGCACAGGCTGGGGTGGCGGGCTCCATCCCCAGTGGGGCACGTGCAGGAGGCAGCGGGTCCATGACTCTCATCATTGATGTTTCCATCTCTCTCCCACTCCCTCCTTCTCTGAAGTGAATAAAAATATATTTTTAAATAGTAATAAAGCCGAAGCCAGTTTTGCTCGGTGGATAGAGCATTGGCCTGCGGACTGAGGATCCTGGGTTCGATTCTGATCAAGGGCATGTACCTTGGTTGTGTGCGCATACCAGTGGGGGTGTGCAAGAGGCAGCTCATCGATGTTTCTAACTCTGTCCCTCTCTCTTCCTCTCTGTAAAAAAATTATTAAAATGTATATATTTTTTTATTTAAAAATATGGAACGCTTCACGAATTTGCGTGTCATCCTTGCGCAGGGGCCATGCTAATCTTCTCTATCGTTCCAATTTTAGTATATGTGCTGCCGAAGTGAGCACTTAAATATATATATTTTTTAAATGATTAAAACGCACCATGCCGCTCTGGCCGGTGTGCTCAGTGGTCAGAGCATCGGCCCACACCAGAGGGTCTTGGGCGTGGTTATGGTCACAGGCACGGACCTGGGTTGCAGGTTCCATCCCCACCCAAGAGGCAGCCACCCAACCACGACCTTTTCCTCTCCCCTCCCTCGCTCCCTCTCTCCCTAAAAACCAGTGGGAGGAAGAACATCCTCTGATGAGAATTAAAAAGTGGCCCTCGCCTAGAAAGCTGGGCTAAAAGTCTGAATTCCTGAGACGCAGAGAAGCCCACACCGCCCAGGAGCGAGTGCCACCCTGCCGGCCGCCTGAGGCACTTCCTCTCAATGCCGGCAGTGTTTTCTCCTGATCTTTTCTCTAACTTTTGGGATGGGCTTCCTGTCCTCAGGGATATGAGCTGGGCCGCGGGAGAGCTTAAGGGGGTCCCTGACGAGGTAGCCCTGTTTGTGGGGTGCACCCACCGGAACTCGGGGAGCTCCCCAACCCCGGGCGCACACACCGGATGGAGGTTTCGATCAGGCGTCTCGCCGCCGGCTGGCAGGAAATCTGAGAAATCGAGTGGAAACTCCTAATGCCAATTTGTAACCACAGCCAATCATGGCTCTTTACTTAAGGCATTTTACAAGCAAAAAACCTATGTTAATCTATTGAATTCTAAAACCTTTGTTTAAAAGGAAACGTTACTCTCTGGCAAGGAGAGAATAAAAATTTTAAAAACCTAAAATCAAAGTTTTCGGTAAAAGTTCAACTGGGTTTCCTTTGCTAAAGAGCTTTATTGAGATACAGCAGGCCAGACTGCTCAGGATGTACAGTTGGTTCTGGTATATTCACATGGCTCTGGAAACATCACCAGGATCTAATTTTACTTAATATTGTTATCTGTTTCAGAGAGGAAGGAAGAGGAAGATAGAAACACCGATGATGAGATCGCTGCCTCCCGCAGGCCCCCCACTGGGGATCCAGACGGCAACCTGGGCATGTGCCCCCTTCAGTCCACAGGCCGACGCTCTATCCGCTGAGCCACACTGGCCAGGGCTCCATGATCTAATTTTAGAACATCTTGCTCTGGGCACCCCTGCCTGCCGAAAAGAAACCCCAAACCCAGGCCGGCCCCTCCTCTCCTCTCCTACACACTGTCCCTGCCCCGGTGGTGAGATGGCGATACTGTCCACTCCTGGGGTTTCAGCTGACGCCTCAGGCACTCAGCCCAAGCTCAGGTGACTTGGTGTCTCTCCCCCTCCCCCCCCCCCCCCGCCACCCTGGCCAAATGGGGGCGGGGAGGGTGAGGCTGCTGCCTGGGGCGGGCCATGGGTCCTGCTGGGACTCTGGCACGGGTTCGGGGGCAGCGGGCGTTGGCCACCAGAGGCTCCAGCCATCCTACATCCTGGCCGTGGACGTGCTTGTCCAAGGCCTTGGGGACAGTCAGCGCCCCCACCATCCGAGCCCACTGCCCCGTGGAGCCCAGGGAGACAGTAAAATGTTCTTTCATGCCACTGAGTTTTGAGGTGCTTTGCCAGGTCCTGGCTAAACCAAACCCACCCTACCCCAGGTCTCCTCCAGGCTTCCAGCCATCCACATCGAGCCGCCTCCTCCCAGGCTGTTGGCTCCCGGCTCCCTCCCCGCCCCCACCGCCTGCATTCCGCATCCCACAGCTCCCTCCCGACACCCAGCCTGGCCCACCTGGTGCCCATTTCTCAAGCTCTGATCCTGATCTTGCAGCTGGAACACTCGTGATCCTGATAGGACGAGGCTTGCCCTCCTCGGGCCTGACCACTCCCATCCACCCCAACACCTGGCTTCACCCCTCTTCACCCTCCTGTCTCCTGCAGACCCCCTTCCCCACTCCTTACAATACCCTCCCTGCCCGGCCGGTGTGGCTCAGTGACTGAGCTTCAGCCTGTGGACTAAAGGGCCCCGGATTCGATTCCAGTCTAGGGTATGTACCCTGGGAGGTGTGCAGGAGGCAGCAGATCGATGTTTCTCTTTCATCAATGTTTCTAACTCTCTACTCCTCTCCCTTCCTCTCTGTAAAAAATAAAATATATTTTTTAAGAAAGAAAGGTAGCTGAAACCGGTTTGGCTCAGTGGTGGAACATCAGTCTGCGGACTAAAAGGTCCGATTCCGGTCAAGGGCATGTACCTGGGTTGCGGGCACATCCCCAGTGGGGGGGGTGCAAGAGGCAGCTGTTTGATGTTTCTCTCTCATCGACATTTCTAGCTCTCTATATCTCTCCCTTCTTCTCTGTAAAAAATCAATAAAATATATTTTAAAAAAAGAAAAAAAAGGTAATGCACGTTAAAAAAAAAACAAAAAAAAAACTACCCTCCATCACCAAGACCTTCCCTCTGGGTACCCCCTCCACCCCTAGAGGCACCCCCACTCTCCCTGTGACCTATCCGGTGATGGTGAACCTGGAGCTCTGAGGTGATGGGAGGCCCAGCCAGCTCCTCGGCACAGCCTGGCACGGAACCTGGCATCCAGCCAGGACCGAGGCAGTGGGTAGATGTCTGCTGTGAACATGCTGTGCAGAAATTAGTGAGAGGACACTGTTCCGAGAGCACCACGCTGTCTGCCCAGAGCTTGGCCCCAGCCTCCTCCCATCCACCACCCAGCTCACAGGGATGCTGGTGGGAGAGGGGCCACACGACAGACAGGGGCCGGGCTGGCTCCTTGGTCTGGTCCTGTTTGGAAATGGGGCAGAACCGGGAAGCTCTGGTCACTGGCCATGCTGGCCTTCCGGCCACGGAGGTGGCTGGCTCCGGGGATGTGTGGGCCGAGGTCTGTCCAAGGCACCGGACGGACTCGGGCGGGTGATGAAAGACGCGCCCTCGGGTGGAAGGCGGGGGTGGGCAGAGGGAGGAGGGTTGAGAGGTGGCCAGCGGTTCTGGCCCAGTGGCTCTGCCGTCTGACCTGGCCGGTCCCTCTCCCCGCAGCCGAGCAAGCGGACCGAGGTAAGGCAGGGCTGCCGTCGCTGGGGCCGGTGTCAGTTGCTGGGGCAGCATCCGAGCTCACGGCGCCACCACACGGTCTGCTTCTCTGTGTGATGGAAGCGGGTGCCTGGGCGTGGGGGACGCTCCTCAGACCGGACATTGGCAGGCTGCCCGATGGCGCTCGCCGGGTGCCTGCTGCTGCTGCTCTGCGCGCGGCCCATGTCTGCGGTGACGATGGAGAATAAGATCCTGATTCTGTCCTACAAGGTAGGCTCCACGCCCACGGCCCTGCCCCGGCGAGGCCTCCACACACGGGGCGCCTGGCCCTTTTCCAGAGGGTGCCCAGCCCTGAGTGCCCTGTGCCCGTTCCCTTAAGGCCCCACGACCCTTGACCCTCTGGAAGGTCAGTTCTTCGAAGTCCTTCTCAACCCAAAGCTGGTCTGGTCTGGGAGCCGCAGTCCCAGCTTTAACTCTTAGCCAGTAGATTTTTAAATATATTTTTTTCACTGTTTTTTTACAGAGAGGAAGGGAGAGAAAATAGTTAGAAACATTGATGAGTGGAAACCGGTGTGGCTCAGTGGATGGAGCGTCGGCCTGCAAAAGGTCCCAGATTTGATTCTGATAAAGGACATGGACCTTGGTTTCCCGCACATCCCCAGTAGGGGGCGTGCAGGAGGCAGCTGATCAATGTCTCTCATCGATGTTTCTGACTCTGTCCCTTTTCCTTCCTCTCTGTAAAAATCAATAACATATATTTAAAAGAAGAAAGAAAGAAAGAAAGAAAAAGAAAGAAAGAAAAGAAAGAAAAGAAAGAAAGAAAGAAAGAAAGAAAGAAAGAAAGAAAGAAAGAAAAAGAGAGAGAGAGAGAGAGAGAAAGAAAGAAAGAAAGAAAGAAAGAAAGAAAGAAAGAGAAAGAAAGAAAGGGAAAGAAAGAAAGAAAGAAAGAGAAAGAAAGAAAGGGAAAGAAAGAAAGAGAAAGAAAGAGAAAGAAAGAAAGAAAGAAAGAAGAAAGAAAGAAAGAAAGAAAGAAAGAAAGAAAGAAAGGGAAAGAAAGAAAGGGAAAGAAAGAAAGAGAAAGAAAGAGAAAGAAAGAAAAAGTAAAAGAAACATCAATCAGCTGCTTCCTGCACGCCCCCTACTGGGGATGTGCCCGAAACCAAGGTCCATGCTCTTGACCAGAATTGAACCCGGGACCCTTCACTCCACAGGCCGACGCTCTATCCACACTGAGCCACACTGGCCAGACTTTTATATAGATTTTATATAAAATCTATTAAAAATATAGAAAGGAATCAGAGAGAGGAGAGAGAGCAGAGAGAGGGAGGAGAGAGAAAGAGAAAGAGAGAAGCATCAATGATGAGAGTGAGTCACTGATCGGCTGCCCCCTGCACGCCCCACACTGGGGATGGAGCCCACAAACAGGGCCTGTGCCCTGACCGACAGGGAATTGAACCCTGACCTCCTGGTTCCTAGGTCGACGCTCAACCCCTGAGCCACACCGGGGGCGGCTTCTGTGGCCCTTCTCTCGCCCTGCGGCTCAGCCCCTCACTAGCTTTCCCGACCCCGTGCCTCAGTTTACTTCTGTCCCCGTGGCTCAGGACAGACACCCACCAGGGCTCCCTCCCTCGCCCCCTCTCCCCGGCCCCCGGGCCAGCCACCCTCCCTTCTCTGAGAATGTTCCAGAAACCTCGCCAGGCTCCATGGGTCTGAAGGCCGGGGGACCGGGCGGGACCAAGGGAAGCGGAGAACAGGGGGGCTCCCTCGGGGTCTGCACCGCCAGGAGCAGGTCCGGGCCGACCTTCAGAAGATCGGGGAGCCGTGTGTGCGCAACGTGGAGTGCCAGAGCGGCTGCTGCACCACCAACAGCCTGAACCCCCAGAAGTTCTGCAGGACCCAGACCCTCCTCGGGCAGTGCCTGCCCTGGCGGAAGGTGCGGGTCCGGGGGAGGGAGAGGGGGAAGGGGGAGGGGGGAAGGGGAGGAGGGCCCCCCGGAGGCACCGCCCCTTGGGGGTCCGGGTGGGCGGTGGGGGGAGTAGAGGGTCCCGGTGGGCGGTGGGAAGGGGAGGGGGTCCCGGTGGGCGGTGGGGAGGGGAGAGGGGGTCCCGGTGGGCGGTGGGGAGGGGAGGGGGTCCCGGTGAGCGGTGGGAGGGGGAGGGGGTCCCGGTGGGCGGTGGGGAGGGGAGGGGGGTCCCCGGAGGCACCGCCCCTTGGGGGTCCGGGTGGGCGGTGGGGGGAGTAGAGGGTCTAGGTGGGCGGTGGGGAGGGGAGGGGGTCCCGGTGGGCGGTGGGGAGGGGAGAGGGGGTCCCGGTGGGCGGTGGGGAGGGGAGGGGGGGTCCCGGTGGGCGGTGGGGGGGGCGGGGGTCCCGGTAGGCGGTGGGGAGGGGAGGGGGGTCCCCGGAGGCAACGCCCCTTGGGGGTCCCGGTGACAGGAAGGTCTTTTGTCCCGCAGCCCAACGGCTACTCGTGCACCGACAAGACGGAGTGCAGCAGCAACTGCTGCGTCACCAACAAGTACAAAAGCTTCCTGCTCTGCACGCCCCGCAACATCTTCCTCCAGTGCCTGGAGTGGCGCAAGGTGAGGGCGGGCGGAGTGCGGCAGGGGCGGGCCCCGCGGCGGCCTCAGGGCCAGGGTCCAGGCGCCTCTGTCTCCAGCCCAACCACGACCACTGCGGGGACCACGCGGAGTGCCGCAGCCTGTGCTGCATCAGCCTGACCGAGGCCAGCTCCCCGCGCTGCATGCCCCGCAGCGGGCTCCTGGCGCGCTGCCTGCCGCCGGTGAGTGCAGGCGGGCGGGGCGTGGGGCGGCCAGTGGGGCGGGGCGTGGGGCGGCCAATGGGGTGGGCGGGCGGGGCGTGGGGCGGCCAATGAGACGGGGCGGGCGGGGCGTGGGGCGGCCAGTGGGGCGGGGCGTGGGGCGGCCAGTGGGGCGGGGCGTGGGGCGGCCAATGAGACGGGGCGGGCGGGGCGTGGGCGACCAATGGGGCGGGGCGTGGGGCGGCCAATGGGGTGGGTGGGCGGGGCGAGGGCAGCCATGGTGAGCGGAGGCTCCGGTCCAGCGGGCTCAGTGGGAACAGTGCTGAGGCGTTGGGCGAAGGGCGGGGCCGTGGGACCGGAGCACCTGGGGCAGCGGACAGGGCCCGCCACCACCCCAGGCTGGAGGCTGAGAGGACCCTCCCAGGCTGACCCTCACGGGGTGGGGGTGGGGGGCAGATGGAGGATGCAGACCGGGCACAGGGGCTGGAGGTGGGTGCTGGGGATGACACAGCACTGACTGTGAAGGGGTGTCTGACCCCCCGTGTACGGCACCCACATCCCGACCAGCACCCAGGCCCCACGTGTGCGCAGAATGTACCCAATCGTGGCCAAATAAGCCATGTGTCCCAGGGAGCCGAGTCCCCCTCAGCGAAGGGGGGACGTGGGGGCTTTAGGCCTCTGGCTCGGTGTGCTCACTGTCCTGTGTCCTCAGTGACACGGGCGGGACTGGTGTGCAGCGAGCGGCCCCTCAGCAGGAGCTCCGGCCGCCTTCACCAATAAACTACCGATGGAGCCAACGTGGGTGTTGTCACGTCTATTTTCTTCAGACAATAAAGATCCGCAGAAAACTTGGGGACGATGACAAAGCAGGGTCTGCTCTGATCTGGTGCCACGGTGACCCCCTAAGAGACCAGCTGTGACCGGGGCAGAGGAAGGCAACATCCCACATACACAGCCTCCCCCCCCCCACACACACACACAGGCGTTCTGTAATAGACACACTTGTGTTTTTGTCTTTGCAAGTAAAAATAGCCACTCAAACCCGGGCCGGCATGGCTCAGTGGTTGAGCATCAACCTAGGAACCAGGAGGTCACAGTTAAATTCCCGTTCAGGGCACAGGCCGGGGTTGGGGGCTCCATCCCCAGTGGGGGGCGAGCAGAAGGCAGCTGGTCCATGATTCTCTCTCATCAAATGTTTCTGTCTCTCCCTTTATATAATCAATAATGATATATTTAAAAATAAGTCAGTTATCCCAAACTAAAAAGACTCTGTAAACACGGCTGACGGTACAGGAAGCAGGAAATCAAGGTCCCACACGAAAAGGCTGTGAGCTCCATCCCTGGTCCGGGTGCTCCCTGGAGGCAACAGGTGAACCCCTCACCTGTGAGGGAAGCATGAAGCTACCGGCGCAATCCCAAGGTCAGCCACCAGGTGGCGGTGTGGGCCTCCGCAGGTCACAGAGACCGCAGGTGCCCCAAGTGATGAGGGTCAGAGGCCGCAGGTGCCCCGGGGGATGTCCGTGTGAGTGTCACAGGACCTTACAGGCATGGACGGCCGGAGGGACAGCTGGTCGGGCCGTGGCTGGTGCCGGCGGAGGAGACAAGTCGATTTTCCGTGATCCATGGAGTTCACTTCTAGAACCCACTTGGCAGGGAGTCTGAGGGTCCAGAGGGGTGCCCGGAGCTGGGGTGCTGCCCCCTCCCTCGTCCCAGGAACACCCCCATGGCTGAGGGGTCACTGTGCCCACAGGGCGGGCTACAGGGACATATACAAAGGGGGCCTGGATGCAGAATTTAATGACGTCACATATATTAATAGCCTATTTACATTTGTTCTTTTTTACAAACTGAAAAAGAAACCTTCTTACACTTCTGCATAATAAGGCGAAAAGCCAGGTGGTACATTAATATTCTTTTAATATAATATCTGTAACTTCGGTTCCAAGTGCCGAGGGCGGGCGGGGCTCAGCCTGAGTGGGGGCCTCACAGTGTTGTTGGACAAAATGACCGTTTTTTCTCCATAAATAAGACGAAAAAAACAAAACAAACACCAAAACCCAAACCCCGGGGCTCTGGGAAAGGATCTGAGGCTGTTAAACTGCAAATCGGAACTAAAAGTTAAAAAGCAAAACTTTTGTTTCCTTTTAAATGTCTAAAGAGCACAAAATTGAAAAAAATACAAATCTATTATAAACGCTCTCACCTGTGGGAAAAAATGTACAAACTTGGATTTTCTCCCAAGAGCCTGGTCTGGGCCCAGAGGCTGTGGGCTCCCCCGGGCCGTGGGGAGGGCGCCCCGCGAGGCCTGTGCTTAGTCCCGGGCCGGCGGGGCCGGCGGGCGGGCGGGCGGGGTCCGCGCCAGGCGGCCCGCAGCTACCGCGCCTCCACCTCCGGGGGGTTCCGGGACGGAGAGAAGTCGGGCGCCTCCGGAGCCCCGAGAGGCGTAGTCCTGCTCCGGGGGGGCCCAGGGGACGCGGGGGCCCCGCCCGCGGCCACCAGCGGAGGCGGCGCGCCCAGGGCGGCGGCGGCCGGCGGGGTCCGCGCCAGGAGTCCGTTGTGCAGCGCGGGCCCGAGGCGGGCGAAGTGCGGGGCGCCCGGGGGCGCGGGGCCGGGCAGGTGCGGGGCGCCCGGGTGCAGGGGGCCGGGCAGGGGCGGGGGCGCCGCCCGCAGGCGCTCGGGGCTGAAGCCGGGCGGCTCCGGGTCGCGGCAGAGGCGCTCGGGAGGCTCGGGGGCGGCGGGCGGGGTGCGGCGGGGCAGCTCCGGGCCGCGGAAGGGGTAGGCGTTCCGCAGCGGCTCCCACGCGAAGCCCAGGCGCAGGTGGTGCGGGCCCGGGGCCTCGCCGTCCTCCCCGCGCTCCTCCTTCACCTTCACGTCGCCCTCGGGCGGCCGCGCGGGGCCCAGGGCGCCGGCCGGGCGCAGGCGGTCACCGGGGGCCCCCTTGCCGCAGGGGGACGGCGCGGCCGGGGCCTCCCTGGCGGGGGAGCGGCTCTCCTTCACCCGCGGGTCGGCCGGGCCCCGGAGCAGGAGGTCCCTGCGTGAGGACACCCCCTCAGTCCCCAGAGCAAGCTCTGCCCACCAGCCCCCTCTGCGCAGGGCCCGCCACGCCCCCCATACAGGTTCTGGGGAAGTGGGGCGGGGCCTGCGGAGCCCACAACCCCCAGGGCCAGGGGTTCCTCTGCTGCTGCCCCTCCCGCCCAGCCAGGGGCCCCCATCCGGAGGCTCAGCACCTGGGCGATGTGGGGCTCCCGTCCCCCAGAGCTCCCCTCCCTGCTGCCCCTCCTCAGGACAGACCCCCTGGCTCCTGCCAGATCCCATGAGGGTCCTCCCGGCCTCCCCGCTCCGAGGGCCCAGCTCCAGCCCCGGACGGGAGTCCCCAGGCCACTCACCGCTCCCTGGCCTCCCGGCCCTTGTCGGGCTCTCGGTCGTGATTGGTCAGGGCTGAGACCCGCTCTGTGTCCACGGGCTTGGGCCAGGGGGGCGGCGTGGGGAAGGACGGGGGCGCCCGGTGCAGCCGGCTCCAGGCCTCCTGGGAGCTGGGCAGCCCGTGCAGAGCGGAGCCCTCCTTGGGGGCAAAGAGGCTGCTGCCTGCAGCTGGGGGCGGGGGAGGGGGCATGAGGCCAGGGGGCTGCCCGCCCACATGGGGCTGCGGGAGGAGACCACCCCCCACCCCAGGAGTGTCCCCAGGGGGTTGAGACCATGCTGGGAAGCCAGGGGGGGCGGCGGGCGGGCGGGCGGACGGACGGACATGCATGGACAGGTGACTCACTCAGTGCGTGGCTGCCCAGGCCTCCGAAGGCGGCGCTGCCCAGGCTGCCCAGGCCCCCGAAGGTGCTCGGCCTGCTGAACGGGTCTGGGGGCGGCGGGCGGGGCTCAGGGCCTGCGTGGCTCCTACCAGGTGCCCTCCCCTGTGGCCCTGGGACCGGCAGGTGCCGGCTGTGCAATGGGAGGGGCCCGGGTTCTAGGGTCACCCCCTCCATCCCTCCCATCCCTCCCACCCCGAGGTTTCCCGGCACCCACCTGCCAGGTGAGCCGGGGGCAGGAAGCCGGGATGGGCTGAGGGGCCGAAGTGGCTGGCGGCAGCGTGGGCAGCACCTGGGGGCAGGGTGGAGCTGGCAGCACCTGTGGCCGTTCCAGTTTCTCTAGGAGCCCCCCCCCTTGCAGGGGCCAGGAGGACCCCAGGGGCCAGGAGGGGAGCACCTGGGGCAGCACCGTGACCACCACCCCGACAAGCTAGCGGACGCCGGGTCTCCGCAGGTTTGGTGCTGGGCCTGGGGACGTGGCCTGAGGCCCGGCCGCCCTGAACTGACCCTGAGACCGCCGGGCGGGCGCACGCCCTTCACTCTGGCGTTCCTGTGAAGACGGCGACGGGGCCCATCTTTGGGCTCCTGAGGCACCCCCCACCCCCCACAGGCCTCGGCTGAGTGAAAAGCACATCCAAGTGACCCACAAGCCAGAGTCAACCGGAGCAGAAACCAGCGCCCAGGGCTGCGCGGATGGGTGTCCGATGGGGTGCGGCCGGGGAGGGGGGGGAGGCAGCCGGGAAAGGAGGCAGCGAGGAAGGCCCTGGTGGATGGGGGAGACAGCACTGACCCCGCAGGGCAATGCCCGCCAGGCGGGGGGGCACCAGAGGCCGGCGGGGGGGGGGGGCGCGGTGGCGGGAGGAGTAGCAGGCCCTCACCCCCCTCCCCGCGCCTTACCTGAGCCGGAGAAGAGGGGCCGGGCCCGCTCGTGCGGGCAGTGGACTCCGGGGAGCAGGCCCGGGGCGGGGGGTCTGCTGAGCACGTCCAGCTTGGCGTGGGGGTCCAGCTGCATCTGGGGGTCAGAGGTGCAGGTGCTGCCTCGTCCCAGGAGCCCCCGGGCCCTCCCAGGAGCCCCTGCACTCAGTCTCCTCTCTGGTCGCGGCGGAAGCTCAGGTGCCCGCCAGGGAAGGGGGGCACAGGGTCGAAGGCCGTGGGAGGACTGGGGCATTGTGGGACGGCACCGGTGCGTGTCCCCCGCCCACCGGGTCCCGTCTCCGCCCAGCCCGGCTCACCTTCAGCCGCTGCTGGTGGTGGTAGGTCTGCCAGGCGATCTGCACGTGCACCGCGCACCACCGCCCCGGCTTCTGCAGAGGGGGCGCTCAGCGGGGCTCCTCACCCCGCACCCCGGCCCGGTGTCCAGGGCACCCAGGGCCTCCCAGCAGGTGCCCGGAGTCCGCCCCTCGCCCAGGAGACCGCCCACACCCGCCCTCGCTCACCCTGACCGCGGTCCGGAGCGGCTCCGACACCTGTGGCCGCAAGGAGCAAGCGTTAAAGGCTCAGCGGCAGCCCAGCCCCGGGGAGGGGGTGCTCCGGGGAGGGGGTGCCCCGGGGAGGGGGTGCCCCGGGGAGGGGGTGCTCCGGGGAGGGGATGCTCCGGGGAGGGGGTGCCCCGGGGAGGGGGTGCCCCGGGGAGGGGGTGCTCCGGGGAGGGGATGCTCCGGGGAGGGGGTGCCCCGGGGAGGGGGTGCCCCGGGGAGGGGGTGCCCCGGGGAGGGGGTGCCCCGGGGAGGGGATGCTCCGGGGAGGGGGTGCCCCGGGGAGGGGGTGCCCCGGGGAGGGGGTGCCCCGGGGAGGGGGTGCCCCGGGGAGGGGGTGCTCCGGGGAGGGGGTGCCCCGGGGAGGGGGTGCTCCGGGGAGGGGGTGCTCCGGGGAGGGGGACACCCTGGGGAGGGGAGACGCTCTGGGGAGGGCGGGGAGGGGTTCGCTCCAGGGAGGGGGGACGCCCCAAGGGAGGGGAGAGGGGAGGGGGAAGGCCCAGGGAGGGGTTCGCACCCGGGAGGGCAGGGAGGGGAGACGCTCCGGGGAGGGGGACGCCCTGGGGAGGGGAGACGCTCCGGGCAGGGGGGATGCCCCAGGGGAGGGGGAAGGCCCAGGGAGGGGTTCGCTCCGGGGAGGGCGGACGCTCCAGAGGAGGGGGCTGCGGGGCCAGTGCACCCACCCCGGGGCCCTTCGGCAGCAGGGTGTGCACAGCGCTGGTCCGGCCCGTCACCTCGATGGGGTTTGAAGTCTGAGGGGAGAGGACAGGATGAGGCCTGGAGCCACAGGCCCAGCACCGGGCTCTGCCCCTGCACCTGGGCGGGCGGGGGGGGGCGAGGGAGGGAAGGCTGGGCCGCAGGGAAGGGGAGCAGAGGGAGCGATACCACCCCCCCCAACACCGCCGCAAGCTGCTGCCGACTTGGGGTGCAGGGCGTGGCCTCGAGGCTGAGTGCCCGGGGAGGTGTGTGTGTCCGCTGCCACTCCTGCCCCTGGGCACCCCCGGCCTCCCCAGCCCAGGCGGCCCCCGAGCAGCCGTACCTTGGGCTGAAAAGCGCCCTGCAGGGACCCGAAGGGGCCTGGGTGTGGGAGCAGGGAGGACAGTCCCGGGATGGAGGGCGGGAAGGATGGGAAAAACTGCAAGAGAAAGGGGGGTCCAGGCCCCAGCTGAGCACCCGGTCCTGGGGACCCGGCCCAGCCTCGGACCCCCCAGGCCCCCCCACATAGGACACGGAAGAGACCTGCTCAGAAGCACCCCCGCCCCCGCCCCCGCCCGCAGCCCAGCCTGGCCGGCCGGCAGCACTCACGCTGGAATGTCGCAGGTAGGGGCTGTCCAGCACGGGCGGGTACTTGTCAAACTGGAGGGGAGAGAGGGGAGGTGAGGCCGGCCCTGCACACAGAGGCCCTCCAGGCTCGTGCCCCACCCACAGGCCCCGGGACGGGAGGCGCTGCGCGGGGCATAGAGCCGGGCAGGGGGAGCGAGGGGCAGCTGGGGCAGAGCCCGGGGCCGGGGTGGGTGGCTGTGGCCTCCCCCAACAGAGCAGCCGGGTCAGGGGCCACTGGGTCCTGTCGGGGCCGCGGAGCCTTCTGGGGCCGTCCCGGCGCGACGGGGACTAGAGCCCGAGCAGGAGGGAGGAGCCCGAGCAGCGGGCGAGCCGCGTGCGGCGAGTGTGCTCCGCCCGCCAGCTGGGCTACGCACCGGCGGGGGTGCGGCGGGCGGCGGCGGCCCCGCGGGGAAGGGGGCCAGTGTGTGTTGGTGCTGGTGTGTGTGCTGGTGTGTGTGTTGGTGCTGGTGGAACTCCGCCCGCAGCAGAGCCGCCGGGCCCAGGGGGGCGCCGGGCCGCTCAGCGCTCTGGACCAGAAAGCGCGCGTCCAGCTCTTGCCTGAGCAGCTCGCGATCTACGAGAGAAAGAGAGAGAGACAGAGCGCGTCGGCCGCGGCGGGGAGGCGGATAGTCACCTGGCACTCCCGGCCTCGGCAGGCCACGCCGTGGTGGCCGCTCGCTAGGTGCGGGCCCCAGGGTGGAGGCAAGAGAGGGGCCTGTGACCAAGTACCAATCAGAATCCCCGCATGAGGCTGGCAATACATGATTGGCGGGCTGAATGAGATCAACAGGCTGGCATCTAAAGGCAAGAGAGAAGACCGTGAGCCGGGCCACGGCCGCGGAGCTGGGGCGGCCGCCCCGCCCGTCCTGCCTCCCGGGGGCCGCCCGCCGGCTCCGCTGTTTACAAAGACCAGACAGGAGGCCGGGGGGGGGGGGGGCACGGTGACCGAGACCGACCCCCAGGGCACCTGCCCATCTCTGAGCCCCCGGCTGCGCCCGGAGGGCCTGCCCCAATAGGGACGGAGCGGGAAGAGGCCCACAGGCTCCGGGCAGCCCCAGCCCCGATGCCTGGCCAGCCGGGCAGGGGCTCCGATGGCAGCCGTGTCCCGCCCGTGTGCACGGAGGCCCGGCAGGGGACCCGGGAAGGCACCTTCTGGGCCCGGCGTGGGGAGAGGCCGTGTCTGGGGGCCGCACCCTCCCCCGCCCGTCCTGCCACCTGCCAGGAGTGAGCACCACAGGGCGGGACCGGACCTACCGGCGGGGTGTCCCGGGAGGACCAGGCTGTTGGCCGGCAGCGCCGGGGGCGGGGGCAGCGTGGCGGGGGCGGCGAACATGGCCGCGTGGTGCTGGTGCTGGGCCTGGGAGCGGAGCGCCAGGTGTGAGGTAGACAGGTGCGCGCCCGGCCCGAGCGGCGACAGGGACGCGTGCTTCGCGAGCCCCAGGCCGGCGCTGCTGCCGACGCTGCTGCTCCTGCTGAGGGGCGGGCTCAGCGTCAGCGACCAGGGCGCCCCCTGCCAGCCTGTCCCCTCCCGCCAGCGGCCCGGGGTCTGCGCCGCCCTGCCCGCCGGCCCTCGCCCCCACGGGCGGCCAGGGCCTACCTGAGGCCCAGCAGGCTGCTGTGCACAGCCTGGCCGTGGCCGTGGCCGTGGCCCAGGCCGTGGCCGTGGCAGTGGCTGTGGAAGGCGCCCAGGGAGAGAGGCACGTGTGTTGGGAGAGGAGCCCGGGGCTGCGGGGGCGCAGGCGGCGGCTGCGGGGTGAGGCGGGGCAGGGCGGGCGCCTCCTTCTTGATGGGCGGGCTGGCGGGGGCGCTGGGCCGAGGGCCGGAGGGGGGCGCGGGGCTGCGCACGGAGGGCAGGAAGGGCAGCTCGGTGCTCAGCTCGCGGCTGCGCTCCAGGCCCGAGACCTTGGGCGCCAGCCCGGCCTTGGCCTCCGCTGTTGCACCTCTCGTGGGGCCTGTGGAGAGAGGGCCCCACGTTTAGTGGGCCCACAGCCTGCAGGTCCCAGCCCCCACCCCACCCCACTTCTGGGCCAGCGGAGGGGCGGGCACAGGCCCCAGTGTCCTCGCAGCAACCCCAGCTCGGGGTGCTGGGACCCCACTGTACAGCCGCCCCGCGACTCCATAATACTGGCTCTGGGTTCAAGTGGTCACCACTGCACGTCCCACAGGCCTGCTCCCGTCGAGGGCCTCCTGGCAGAGGGCCCTCTCTGCGCGGTCCAGCCAGGCCCAATGGGAACAAGGTGCCTGTCATCCATGCAGGGCCGCGGGCTCGGGGCAGGAGAGCCGCGGGGAGTCCTGGGTGCCAGCCCACCACAGGGCGGACCGTCGGCAGCTGGTCGGTGCCCAGGCCAGCCACTCGGCTGATGGGACCATGCTCCCTGCTCCCCGTCTTTCCTTGGGCCTTTCTTGGGGGACACAGCCCCTCCCACAGGGCCCAGCAGAAGCCCCCGGTCCCCCACAGGCGGGAGCCCGGCCGGGCTGCCCTCACCTCTCTCGGCTGCCGGGGCGAAGAGCTTCTCGGAGCCTACAGACGCCTGGAGGAGAGAGGAGGGTCAGAGCGAGAGGGTGAAGGCATGGGCCGGCCCGGGCGCCAGGATCAGGTCTGGGCGGGACCCTGAGCCCCAGCCCCCACGTGGGAGGGTGGCTGCACAGGACGCTGGGACGTGGGAGCCCAGGCCTGGTGGTGGGTGACGGAGCAGAGGCCACGGGGCCCCCCACCCGCAGCCAGGACGGCAGGACTCGGCCCGCCATGCCCCAGACCTCCCTGCACCAGCACGCCACAGGCCCGGGACCACGGCACAGGGCTAGGCCGGTGCCCAGGGCAGCGTGGACGACTGGGTTCGGGCAAAGAGGAGCGTGTCCCCTCGCCATCTCCCCGGGGGCAGCCACGCAGGGCGGTCGGGTCGGGACGGCCCTCGATGTCTGGCGGGAGCCCCCCAGACTGTAAACACCTTCCTGGAGAGGTTCCCGTGCGGAGCAGCCTCACCCGACCGACCGGGTCCCACGTCTCACCCGCGTCTCCCGCCCTCCCTCTGCTGGTCTGCAGGTGCACAGCAGCCAGGGGAGGGCAGGGGTGGGAGGGCGCCCGCCAGCCCCTGGGATGCGGTCCTGGCCGAGGCTCCCAGCTCCGCACTCCCAGCCCCGGCAGTGCCCACGGCCCACTGCCCAGGGCCGGCTGCCCAAGTTAGTTTGCTCAGGGAAGCCGGGGACCCCGGTCCGCAGGGGCCCTGGGCAGGGACAGGCGGGCTCCCCCAGAGGCCCCCCACGCCCGTGTGGAGGTGGTGGCCCCTCCCAGCGTGAGTGCAGAGACCGCCCGCACCCAGGTCCTGGGTCCTTTCTGTCTGCAGGACCGGACCTGGGACAGCACCTCCTGGGGGATCTGAGCAGGGGCCAGTGGGGTGCGGGAGGCCGGGGGCCGGTCAGGGAGCACTGACTTTCTGGGGGGAGGTCCCTGGCGGCCGCCGCGCTTTGTCTGGGGGCCTCGCCGGCTGGGCGGCACCGGAGGGAACCCGCACCCCCAGACAAAGGACTCCGCCCGGGCAGGGCATGGCAGGGCAGGGCAGGGCTGCGGCCGGCATGTGGCCAGCCTGCTCCGGGCGCAGACAAAGGCGCGCCCCCACTTGGCCAGGCCCCCTCCGCCGCCGGCCCCCAGCCGGACTGCTCCCTGCGCCCAGCGCCCCGGCTCCGGAGACGGGACGCAGCCCGGGGGGTGGGGGGCCCTCCTGCCTCTGCTGCTCTGGGTTCTTCCCGGAGCCGCCGCCGCGAACTCACCGCGGGCGCCGGGGCCGGCGCGCTCCGCAGCGAGTCCTCGGCCGGAGCAGGAGCCGGGGGCACGGATGTCCCCCCGAACTCGGCCTGTCGGGGGCCCCTCCCGCCCTCCTAGCCGGCCGAGGCCGCGGGCTGGGTGCTCTGGATGCTGGGCCCCGGCCGGCGGGCGCTGCGAGGGGCACCGCGGGTGGGCACGGAGAGCCGGCGGGCGGGGCGGAGGCGGGGCGCGGCAGGCCTGGCTAATCCAGCCCTGAGGCGCGGATCTGCCCGTGGGGCTGCGCTGGGTCCCCAGCCCACCGCCGCTACCAGGTCAGGGCACGCAGCGCGGCGAGTATGGATGGGGGAAACTGAGTCAGGGAGCAGTGAGGTCTGTGGCTGGGGCTGGAAGGATGCCAGCTCTGCCCCCTGCGCCTGGTTTCACCATCTCCCTCGCGGGGACGTGAGGGGGAGACCCAGCAGGCAGACACCCGGGGACGTGAGGGGGAGACCCTGGCAGGCAGAGGCTGGTCAGACCCGGCTCCAGAGCAGCGGGCAGGGCCGGGCTCCCGTGGGGTGTGTATGTGTGTGTGTGTGTGTGGGATGAGGGCCCACCTCTCAGCGGCTGTGGACAGAGGCAGGGATGGGAAAGGGGTGCTGGCCGGGCCCTGGGGCAGACGGCAGGCAGCCAGCCCCGGCCAGCTGGCCATCCAATGAGCCCGCACCATGTTCACCCCATATTTCCCCAATAAAAAGGCAGGCGAGCGGGCCCTCTGACTGCGCAGGCTGCCCCACCCCCCGGGAGGGGGGTGGGAGGACGTGGGAGGACGTGGGGGAGAGAGCTGGGGGGCAGCACTGATGGGACAGCGGGGGTCACGAGAGGGGGGGGCTGGTGAGTCAGGAGGGCGGGTGGGCCTGCCTAGGGGGAGGCATGCCATCCCCAGGGCTGCTGCTGGCAGAGGGACAAGCGAACTGGCCAGAGCACAGAGCCCAGCCTTCCTGCTGCCCATCCAGAGAGGCCCTGGGGGCTGCCCGCCTGGCCTCTGTCCCCAGGCCCAGCACCTGCTGAGTCTGAGACAGATCAGGGCACAGAGCAGCTCCCCCCTCTCGCCCACCCGGTCCGCATGCTCAGCTGCCCACTCCTGGCCTGGCCCCCCAGCAGCCACGGGGCTTCTGACCGCTGGTTCCGGCCTTTGTGCGTCCGGGAATGGGACAAGCCAGCTGTCCAGCTCTGTGGGCACGAGTCCCAAGGGCCCAGCGAGGGCCGGGAGGTGCCCTGAGGATGCCAAGCAGCAGCTTGAGGCCAGGCACCACTGCTTCCCGCCCGTGTCCACGACTATGCAGTCATGCACTGGAAGTGCCTGGAGACACCTGCCTTCCTGCCTGCACCCCAACCCCGGACCCAGGACCCGTGAACGGCCTCACCGGGCCAGAGCCACAGGAAGGAAGCCGGGGTGCTCACAGGTCAGCCTGGCTGCCGTGGGGAGGGGGGCATCAGTTCCAGGTCCCAGGCCAGTGTCCACGGGCCTGCTTGGTGGGCGTGAGGGGTTACTCGCTGCCAGAGACCAAGCTGGGGAGAGGGGGCGGGAACTCAGGCCTCTGGCCACACAGCTGCTCACCACCCCCCACTCAGGCCAACACATCTGTGGAGGGTGCTGAGGGCGGGACCACGGCTCTCGGCCGCCACCCGTGGCTGTCACTGGGCCCAGGCAGCCTCTCACACCGGCAGGGGCCTGTCCACAGAGCACAGGGAGACCGCCCTGCCCCCCTGGAGGCCTCACTGCCGGCCGCTCCTCGGTGGACCAGGCGCCCCCGACCCACTGAGACAGGCCGTCCTGCCAGGCCTCCAGGGCCACCGGGGGGTCGAGTCAGCTGGGGGTGCGCAGGCTTACCTTGTCGTCCCCATCGCTCTCGCTGTCACACTGTGGGGAGAGATCGGAGTTAGTGCCCATGAGCCCACACGTGGCAGGCAGGTTCCCGGGAGGCTGCAGGGCTCATGCCAGAGCAGAGGGGGTGGGGGGGACGAGGAGGCTCCGCAGGCCCCCCCACGCGGAGCCTCAGCCTGGTGGTGTGTGTGTGTGGGGGGTCCTAGGCCAGTGGGTCCAGCTGAGCTCTGAAGGAGGCGAGGAGGGGAGACCCCTGGGGAAGAGGAGGGGTCGGCATAGGCCTGGCCAGAGGCCCCAGCAGGGAGGGGGCCGGGGGGGCCGAGTGGAAGCTGCCCCACGTTATCAGTGCCGCTGTTACGGCGAGACCGTGACAAACACACAAACCTGTTCTCCTCGACAGTCAGGAGAGCTTTAGAGAGAGACTGTTCTAGAAGCCACAGCACCTCCCCCCAAGGACACAGAGAGGGAAAGCTCTTCCCAGAACTGCAATTAGGACGGACACGCTCTGTCCTGCTACGCGGCTGACACCCCTCCCCGCCCCGCGCTCCGCGCTGGCCCCTGACCCAGGCCGCGGCGCTGTGCTGGCACGGGTCGTGAGCAGGGTGGGAGAGCTGGGGCACGGCGGGACGGCAGGGGGAGCACGGAGAGGGGCTGGGAGGTGGGCGGGACGTGGCTGTTCTGGAGCAGGAGGGAGAGTAGGGGTGATGGCACCTCACGACAGTCCTGACCAGGGAGGGGGACCTGGGGTCCTGGCCTGTGGGGCATCAGGAACCCCTGACCATGCAGCCGCTGGTGGAGCTGCCAGAGACGCCCCCCCCCCCCCATGCGGCCTCTTAGACCTGGAGGGGAAGCGCACTCACGCCCATCAAGCCGTCCGGGTCGGGCCTCTGAGCTCACGCCCGTCACTGACCCAGAACCCTCCGGCCCGTTCCCACCTCCCCATAGCCCGGTGTCACCGTGAGCCTAATGACCCGGCATCAGCACACACACGGACCCTATAATTAACCACAGCACACGCCTGTCAGCCAGCGCGGCTGCAGGCGTTCACGTCCTTAAGTCCCACAGGATTAACGTTCCGTGCAGTGGAGTGGGAAGTGAACGAGGCCGTTAATCAGAGCCGGAGGGAGAGATCTGTTCTCCAGGACCTGCCTTCGGGGTCCGGCTGGGCTGGGCGACCCTGGGGAGAGACCCTCCCCTGTGGGTGGGGTCTGTGGAGGAAGGGCAGGCCCCAGGGGGTGTGGGCCCTGGGGCGATGCCGGCTCTGATTCTGTGCGGCCCAGGGCCCCACTGTGACTGGGACACAACACACGTGCACTCAGTCACAAGTGTGTGATGGGCAGGGTCTGCGTGGGCCCGTGGGCCGCTCCTCCGCGCCCTCTGCTCTGGCCCTCTGGCCCCGCCTGTCCCCGGGCCTCCCCCGAAGCTGCCGGGAGCGATTTCCGGGTTTTCCTCAGCCCGAAGCCCGATGGCTGAAGGGCCCGGAGTGAATAAAACACGGCCGCCCTGCGCCCGCCTGACCTGTGGCGGAGCCGGCTCTGTTAATCCGTTCTCGTGCTGTCAGACTCCGGCGCTAACTGCCTATGAATTATTCATCGACACAGGGAGTCTTCACGGGAGCGCACTGGCATTAACCACCCCCCACCCGCGGCCGCCTGCCCTCCGGGGGCTCCTGTGCAGGTGCTGGGCCTCCAGGCCGTGGCTTGTCTGGACAGCCAGGTCTCGCTCCAGGGACAGGCCACGGCTCAGGCACTAGGGGCGGCATGGGGTCCTAAAGCTGGTGGGGCCACACTCAGTGGGATGCCCACACTGGCACCCTCCGGCCCAGGGCCTTGGCCTCTGGGCGCCCTGAGCGGCCCCACAGGTGTGGGAGAATCGCCCAGAGCTGAACACGGGAAGCAGCGAGACGCAGGGCACACAGCCATGCGTAGGCGGAATCTCCGTGTGTGTCCGGGTGGCCGGAGGAAGGGCCGAGCAGGGGCGGGGCAGGAGCGGGGGGTGTGTGTTTGTGTGTGTGTGCGCGCGCGCACACGTGTGCGTGTCTGGGTGGCTTCTCCTGAAGACCTCGAAAAGTGAATGAGCTCAAACCTGCAGCCCACCAGCAGCCTGACCCCACCCGCCCGGGGGGAGGGGGGCGGGGAGGGGCAGGGGGCGGGGGCACCTCCGGGCCTCCTTGTCCCGGGCCTGCTCCCTAGGTGTGGGGCTTTTACAGATGGTGGAACTTCTCACAAAGGCGTATCATCCTGCCCCTCGCTCAGCCCTCGCCCAGCCGAGAGGAGGAGCCAGGGCCCCGCACTGGCTCCACCTGGGACGGCCGCTGAGCCCTGCCCTGCCCCACAGCGGGCACCCTGCTGGCTGGTCTCCTGGTCTCCGGCTAAGCCCGGAGCAGGTTGCCTGCTTTTCGTCTGCTCTGCCTGGGGGGCACAGAGGTTCCCGCCCAGACCTCCTTCAGGGAACAGCACCCCCCCCCCCCCGTGTTCTCCTTGCCTTCCCTTCACTAATTGGCTTTATTCACCATCTCCTTTTTCTTCTTTTTTTTGTTAATCCTCACCCAAGGATATTTTTCCATTGGCTTTCAGAGAGAGAGGGAGAGACAGAGAAGCATGGATGTGAGAGACATATCAACTGGTTGCCTCCTGCATGCACCCCGACCAGGGCTGGGGTTCGAACCTGCAACCCACAGGTACATGCCCTTGACCAGGAATTGAACCCTAGACCCTTTGGTGCAAGAGCCGGCATTTTAACCCCTGGCCAGGTCACCACTTTCTCCTTTAGGCCCTGAACCCCCGCCCCCCGCCCCCCGCCAGGGCCTGATGTTTGGCTCCTTCGGTGCCGGGGACACGGCGGGAGGCGGAGGGGGGTGCATCTGTTTCACACACGACGGCAGGCCGACAGCCAGACCGACCCAACGGAAGGAGCCCAAGGAGCTGACGCAGCGGGCACACGCGGGCAGGGCAGGTGCAGGGATGGAGGGGCCACAGGTCTGGGGGTGCGGGGCGGTCGGGCCCGGCCTCCTCCTGAGGGGACCGGTTCTGAGAGATGGTCCTGGAAGGGCCTCAGGGACTAAGAGGGCAGGAGCTCAGCCCCAGCAGCAACGCCCTCCCTCCCAATGGCGGTGCGTCTGCGTCACCCAGAGGCTGGAAGGTCCTCACTGGTGACAACGTCCACCTGGATGCTGTGAGCTGCCCGGCTGGGTCACCACGGGTCAGAGGTCACCACATCCCGGGCATCAGGCCTGCTGCCCTGTCTCCCACCCCCACTCTGGTTCTCCTGTGTAGAGTAGGGGCGGGCGGGACACACACACACACACACACACACACACACACACAAGGTGCCTGAAGGGGGCGGGGGGTCCAGGCTGCTTCGGCCTTTGCAGCTTCTGGACCCCGTTTCTGTTTCTCAGGGAAGCCCCCAGGCCTCTGGGTCTGCAGAGACAGATCACGTGTCCTCCATCAGCGAGGTGAGGAGAGCTCTGACTAGCACACAGCTGAGCAGCGCCTGAGGGCTGCGGGGCTAAGGCGTCTGGGACGGAGGCTGCTGCGGACGCCCAGGAGCTGGGTTTGCTGGGAATCTGGGCTAATGAGGCCCGTGAGTCTCGTCTACAGCCAGGTCAGTGGGCAAGTGCCCAGCGTGGCCTAGAGCGGGACGCTGCGGGCAAGGGAGGACAGCCACACACGCACAGGCAACACAGCACACGGGTCCAAGAGACATACAGACACGGGACACGTCTGCAGAACGAAGTCACACACGCAAGTGCACCCACACCACACACAGACACTGACATGCAGGTACACGTGGGGCATGCACACACACATGCATGCGCATCTGCTACACCCACAGACACACATGCAGACGAACAGGCATGAGGGGCCCAGAACACGCAGATGGCCCAGAGACAAATAAAACCTCTAGGTGCAAGCAGACACGGCCATACCAGGGCCACAGGAAGATGTGCATGTGATAAACACGTAAACGTGAGCACAGCCTGGGGCTGAGCTCACATACCAGCCATGCATGTTCTCTCTTGCACGCCCATACACGCACACGCACGCAGACACACACACACACACACACACACACACACACACACACACACGGCCCAGCTGGAGTGCACGCTGCAGCCGAAAGGCTCCCTGGTGATGGGCTGGGTGCTGAGCAGGTCACCTGGGCCGGCCTCCAGCCCGTGGGAAGTGGCCTCACCTGCTTCCACTTCACAGGGCCAGGCAGGGTGTGTGGGACACACCTGCCCCCAGGGCCTAACTCACCCCCCACGCCCTGGCCTCAGCAGAAGGGCGGCCACGTCCCTGCCACCACTGTGGCTCCCCCAGTGGCCGTGGGAGTGAAGCACAAGCAGCTGGCTGAGAATCACGGTCTGGGAGACCGCGGCACCACGGCGCCTGGGAGACAGGGCCCGGGGTCTCCGACGTGGCAAGAGGCTCCCCGGGCACGCCCCGCCTGCCCGCTGCTGGGCACGCTGGCCCCCCATCTCCTGGCCACCGCCCGGCTCTCCCCATCTGGCTGGCATCACACCGGGCACAACGCCTCCCGCCAGATCCGCCTGCCTGTGCCGCTGGAGCCCGCACAGCTCCCAGGCGGCTGCAGAGGGGGAGCCCGGTGGTCCTTCCCGGGACACTATGGCGGGGGGGGGGGCGGGGGGGCGGGGGGGCGGGGTGCTGGGCTAATGGGTCAGCCACACCCGTAACAGCCGCCCTGCAGCTCTGACTCTAAGTCAGGGTGGCAGGCCGCCACCGGCCGCACCTGGCACCTGGCTCTCACCTGGCACCTGGCACTGGGCCCGCTGACGCTTCAGGGAAACCGGATAATGTGTGGGGGGGAGACTGTTCTCCAAGGACAGGATTGGGGGCAGGAAGGGGAGCCCTGCACAGCCTGCCCACAGGCCAAGCGAGTTACTGGGGAGCAGGGGTGAGGGGTGGGGGGTGAGGGGGGGCGTTGTCACTGGGGAGTGGCTGCTCCATGCCAGGACCCCCAAGTCCAAGTGCCACCCGACAGGACCCTCTCCCTCGGAATCTCCAGCTCCATGCACACCCCCTTCAGGCCAGCTCTGCCAGCAAGACCGCTGGGGGTCCGCCCGGGCAGGGTGCAGATGGGGCTCCGGAGGGACAGGATATGCAGGAGAGGGACAGAGGGGGGGGGTGGGGATGGGGAGAGGGGGGGACTTACAGAATAGCCTCTGCCCGACACAGCCTGCGCTGAGCTCTGTGGAAGGAAGAGGACATCGTAACCAGGGTAACCAGGCTTGCAGCCCCGCCACCACCACCCTCTGAGGCCACCCAGAGCCCATCTGAACAGCCAGGGCACCCGTCACAGGGCGTAGATGTCGGACCCTGAGACAGGCCCAGAGGCCACACCCCGGGCCCCGGCGGGAACCATGGCTCGGGGTCCGGACGAGGACACAGCTGAGCTCATAGACCCAGGACCCACTCGGACCTTCGCCCAGGACCTGGATGTGGCCCAGCCATCACCTCACCAGAGCGGCAGAGCCCCACGGCCCTCCACTCTGAGCCAGATGTCGCCCGAAGAGGCCCCGAGTTCCACCGTGGCTCTGTGCTCACCTGGTTCTGTCCTCATGGGGCAACCCTCCCGGGCCACGTGCCTCAGGGACACCCCCTGCCTGGCCAGCCTGCCCCTGGTCTCAGAAATGGGGGGGAGAGGGGGCGCGGGAAGGCTTTCGGGAGGAGCTGGACGGGACCTCCAGCCTCGGAGTCAGGGTGAGGCCGTGGGAGGAAGTGGTTCAGAGGTGGGGCCCACCCCTACCTCAGGGAGGCCCCGCCCCCAGGGCTGACCCCCAAGGCACAGGCTGGCTGGATGGGGCTCAGGGGGACCCGCAGACCAGGGCCTAGAGCACACTGGGCACTGAGCCGAGTGCTCCCTTCTGCACAGGGACCCCCTCTCCAGGCAAAGCCCTGGCAGGTCCTCACTCGGCTCCTGGGGTCTCTGTTGGGGAGAGTCCACTTCCTGCCCCCAGGCGCACTTAGAGCTGGAACTAGGGCGGCCGCACGCAATTACCGGCCTGTTTCCCCTCTGGTGGGAAAGACCAAGCAGCAATCCGGCCTCCTCAGGCTCCATTTAAATGGTAATGCAGCTGGGGGTCCAGTCTGGGCCCCCACTAGGGCCCCTTCCCCCCAGGGCCCCTCCCCTGCTCCTTGCCTCTCCTTTAAGCTCTGGGACCTGAAACCCCGTGGTAAGGGCCGCTGGTCTGGTCTCCCCATCGCTGGCCAAATCCCGGGCCAGCCCCTCACGGGGTCCCCGGCCCCTCCCGCCTCCAGGGCCTGAGCTCAGGGACCTCCTTCCAGGACAGCAGAGGCGCCTGGTACTCACGTCACTGAGCTGGTCCCGGGAGGCGCTGCGCCGGGAGCTGGTGGCCTCGCGGAAGCCCTCGTCCTCGCTGTGGCCGTCGCCCCCTCTGGACAGGGCAGCCTTCACCTGGGGGCAGAGAGAGGGCTCAGCAAGCAGCCTGCACCCCTACACCGCCCGCTGGGGAGGGGGGCCCAGGGAGGGGCGGGGAGGGGGCGCGCTGCCCAGCTGTGTGGAGCCCAGGCAGGAAGCAGGCGCCCAGCAGACACGAGGCTCAAGGACAAGTGTCTGCAGCTGCTCTGGTCCCCCCCCCCCCCCCGCCCAGTGGCTGCCACCAAGCCAAGTGGCAATGCCTCCCCTCTCTGAACTCAGAAAGGAAGGGAGAGGAGAGGGAGAGAGAGAGGAACATCAATGATGCAAGAGAATCACTGACGGGCTGCCTCCCGCAGGCCCCACACTGGGGATGGAGCCTGCAACCCGGCCTGTGCCTTGACCAGAACCGAATCTGACCTCCTGGTTCACAGGCCATGCTCAACCCTGAGCGACCAGCTGGGCTTGCACTTCTGTTTTTACTTGGAAATAACTCTAACCCCAGGAAGCTGTGGGGACAGCCCCCACATCCCAGCCCCTGACCCCCACCCCCCCACGCCCAGGAAGCCACGTGGCCTTGCGTCCAGCTCCGTGTCCGGTCCCGTGGGTCCCGTCGCCTCCCGCCCGCCTGGCTCCCTCTGTCCCTCAGCTTTGTCTGCTTCCACGTGACGCCGGGCACACGCAGAGGCCACACCTCCCTCGGCGAGTCTGACAGAGGCGGTGGCGACCCTGCCAGTGCTGCCCACGTCCCAAAGGCCGGCGCAGAGGGCGGCGCCAGGGGCAGCGGGGCCACGGACCCGGAGCCCATCGCCGCCCCAGCCACTCCCGCGCGAGGAGGCCGCGGCAGGAACCGCCGCACTCACAGGAGGCTCTAGACCAACTCCCCAGGCCTGCGGGAGGAGGACGTGCCCCATCCTGCCGATGGCGAACCGAGGCGCTGGGGCTGAGTCGCCCGAGGCCACACGGCAGCCCGGGGCACGCAGGGGGACTTCCGGAAGGCTCTACCAGCCCTTCTGGCAGCTGTCTTAGGACCGGGAAACCCCAAACACGGCAGGCGGGGGCGGGAGGAGCGCGGAAGGGCCCACACGCACCCAGAACTCCCGTCAGGAGGCTGGAGGCTCGGGGCTCCAGGGCGGTGGGGGTGCAGGTGAGGAACGGGGCAGGGCGGGCCTGGAGGTGTGCGGAGGGCACGGGAGTGAGACCACGGGTGAGTAAGCCCAGGAAGGCAGAGGAGGCCACGAAGGACCTCGTGGGGTGGGGGTGACTGAGGGTGGAAGGAACCTTCCAGAACCAATGGCTCCTCAGAGGAGCCTCAGGTGGGAGATGGCACCCAGCGAGGAAGCCGAGACAGGAGGCTGCTGTGCGGGGAGCAGGGGGCAGGGGGCAGGGGGCAGGGGGGCAGGGCTGCGGGGGAGGGGCAGGGGGCAGGGCTCTAACTGCGAAGGGCCGGAACCTCAGAGCGGCCTGGGGCCCCGAGGCCCTGCAGGGCTCAGGCGGTGCCGCCTCAAGCCCGGGGCAGACTTCCTGCCAGCTGCCTCGGGCAGGGCGGCTGGATGTGGCACTGTCTCCCTCACAACAGCGGGCTCGGTGACCCGCAGGTGTCTCTGCGTTGGGGTCAGGGAGGCCGGCGGTGTCTGGCCCAGCAGCCGCACACCCGTCCCTTATCCTCACACAGCGAGTGACCGGAGCAGAGGCCAGCTGGCCGGCGGTCTGGGTGCCAGGCCCACAGGAAAACCTCCTCAGCGAGAGGGCCCCCTGGTGTTTGTCACATGAAGGGCAGGACTTGCGGGCAGCAATGGGCATTCACCTGGTGCAGAGACCACACGGGGGGAACCCAGAGCTCACAAGACAAACTCCTCCTGGGGTTCCCCAGCCTGGAGGGTGTTTCAGGGGGACCCACTTCTCAGACCCAGGCTCATGCCTGCCCCTGGGGACCCAAGGGTCTCCCTGGTGGCCCCTGCATGGTAAACTCCCTCAGCGCGGCCCCCAGGTCCTCACGGACACCCCCTTCCACCTGACAGCGCAGCCACGGGGGCCCAGACACTGCCCTGCAGACGGCGTGGCGCGGACACCCAGGTCCCAGCCAAGGCATCCTGGGGCAGCAGGGGCCCCCCAGACCTCCAAGGCCCCCCTCGAAGACTCATCCATCCTCACTTCCCGCACGAGGTGGCCCCCAACCACCACCCCCCTCCCCCGGCCTTGGGGCAGCTCATTGGCTGGAGCCCAAGCCTCCACCCACCTCCCAGCTGTGTCCTGCGGCTCAGACACTAATTTACCTTCCAGGTCTCCTTGGCCAGGACACAGGAGCCACTCCAGACCGCCCGCAGGCCCCATGCCCCAGCAGAGGCCCCAGGACAGGTGTGTGCACCCCCCACAGGCAAGTGGGTCCCCCAGGGGGCACCCCCGGTCCCAGCCCTGAGAACCAGCAGAGCCCCGCCCTCTCGGCCTGAGGTCACACAGACTGCCCACCCCCTCACAGCGGGTGGCCCAGATGGGAAGTGGGGCAGCCCCGGCCCTGGCTGAGGTCCCCATGGCCCTGCCCCACACCCTACAACTGGCCAACACTCCCAGGGACTGCAAGGCCCACACCCGTCCTGACCCAGCAGGAGGTACGTGGACCGGGCAGGGCACTCACAGGCCACAGGGCCCAGGGCCCAGGGCAGGACACACGCCTGAATCCCCATCCAGTGCAGGGCTGAGGGAGAGGCAGCAGAGCCGGGTCCTGAGGGCAAGGGTGGGGAGGAGACCCCTGCACCGCACCCCCGGCCGCGCTGTCCATCGGGTGTAAGATCGCTCCTGTTAAGTCACAAACGCCGACGCTGCTGTAAGAATGGCACGGCACTTTTTATTGTCTTCAATCCAAAAATAAACCCTGCGTCTCTGGGAGGCCCTGAGTGAGGACTAGGGGACCACATACCCGCTGGTCAGGCCCCCACAGGCAGGGTGCTCGTGAGCAAATGGGGAGAGGGAGGCCTGGAGACCGGGCCCCTGAGGGTGGGTCAGCACGGACATGCCTGTCACAGTAGGCGATGGGGCATGAGGTTGAGCGGGAGCCTGGCCAGGGCACCCCGGGGCAATGCTACTCCCCGAACGGACGGACGGACGGACGGACGGATGCAGGCCTCATGAGTCCCAGCCCTGGGGGCCTGCCCTGGGCCAGGGACAGCAGAGGCAGAGCCCCGTAGTGTGGGGTCTGCCCAGCAGGGAGCATCAGGGGCAACTGGGAGGCTGCAAGAGGGCACTGAGGGCACTGGGAGGGCACTGAGGACCAGGGCCCGGAGACTCTCTTGGTGCAGAGCTGGGGTGGGGGCTGACCCACTTCAGTGACTGGCGACTGGGCTGGAGGCAAGATCCCGGGGGACCTTCCGTGCCACCAGCAGCTTCTGCTCGACCACAGACGGCCCTGAGCACCCTGCGCCTCCAGTCATAGGACCCAGAGGTGGAGGCAAGGCTGGGGGGGCAGGAGGCTCACACTGACCGGAGGGGAGGGGCCCTGGGTGAGGCCTGCAGCTCACACACATACTTGCACACCTGGGGGGCGTGCACAGACTCAATGTACAAGGACATGTGGCATTTCAGAGGCACAAACAGGGACCCCGCGGACCCTCCCGGGGCGAGTCACACAGCAGACGGGCACAGGGGAGCGGAGCAGCGTGGGGCGGGGCGCAGACACCGGGTCCTCTCCTCTCTTCCTGGCGCAGGCGGCCTTGGGCGGTAGCAGGCCTTGGGCGGTGGTGGCCTGCCTGGGGCTCCGCCTCTGCTGAGCCAAACGCACACACAGCCCGGCCATCGGAGACCAGTCCGCATACAGCGGGCGGCAGGAGCCGGCCCGGGGGAGCACAGGTGACGGTGGGGAAACGGGCATCAGGCTCCTGGGCTCACATACGGGGCCTGGCGGGCTGAGCGGGTGGAGGAGCGAGTCCGTCGTGACCGCTGGGGCCAGCAGGGGGGGCCCGGGGCCATGTCCAACAGGGACTGCCGCCGAAGCCGCAGGGGCCCCAGGAGTGGCCGGCGGGGTGGAGGGGGCTCCCCCAGGAGCGAGGGGCGCTTGGGGATGGGGAGCAGCGGCCGGGGCTTATAGGGCGGGCCCGGGCCCAGGAGTGACTGCGGGGGCTGGCAGTTCTGCTCTGGGCCCAGGAGTGGCTGCTTCTGTTGACTCTGCTGTCGGGGGCCCAGCAGTGACGATTCAGGGGGCCCATGCTTCTCCGGGGCCTCAACAAACTGCTGGGGCTGCCGGAGGCCCGGGTGTCCCGGCTGGCCCAGGAGGGACCTTCGGGGCTGGCATGGGGTGACCAGGGCCTGCCAGGAGCAGCAGCACTGGCCTGAGAGCGAGCAGCTGGGCCGGCGGCGGGGACGCAGCACGTGGGGCGAGTGGGGGGGCGGGCAGTGCGGGCAGCGGGCCTGCAGGGACTGGAGGGGCCCGCACCACTGTCTGGAAGAGGCCCTGCTGGGCTGGCTGTGCAGACACGAGGCCACGCAGGCCCACGTGGGGCAGCAGCAGCGGTGCCAGAGGGCCAGCAGGGACTGCAGGGGGCAGCAGAGGGGGCAGGAGTCCGGGGGGCAGCGCAGGGGCCGGCAGATGTGGCAGGGGGCCGGGGGACAGCGCAGGGGCCGGCAGCGCTGCCTGGGGCCTAGGGGTGACCACCGGGGCCTGGAGGGCGGGGCCAGGAGCGTCCGCCGAGGCCGGCTGCGCTGCTCTGGGGCTGGGAGCAGCTGCCGGGGCCGACAGGACTGACCTGGGCCCAGAAGCGATCGCCGGGGTCGGCAGGGCTGACCTGGGCCCGGAAGTGACCGCTGGGGCAAGCTGCGCTGACCCGGGGGCGGCTGCCGGGGCTGGCAGGGCTGCCCGGGGTCCGGGAGAGCCCGGCTGGGCTGGCAGCGCTGACACGGGGCTGGGGGTGACCCCTGGGGCTGGCTGGGCGGCTGCTGCTGCGGGCGCTGGGCCGGGCCGGTCTGGTCCCAGGGGTTGGCTGGGATCGGCCCCCCTTCTGGGGAGCACACCTGCATGGAAGAAAGAGCACGTGTCCACCTGGGCCAGTGTGCCTGCCGACCCCCCGTCCAGCCCGGCCCGACATGCTGCCCCGCACCAGCAGCCCGGCCCCAGGGGAGTGAGGAGACCCTCCGGGAAGACCCGCCGGGAAGAAGGCGTGGACAGCGAGCCGAGGGCGGCAGCGAGCCCAGGGCGGCAGCGTGCCGGCACCTGCAGCCTGCACTCTGCTCGCTCAATCGCTCGCTCGCTGGGAGAAAGCCCCCACCAAGGACCACCGGCCACGCGTGCCCAGGCACTGGCTCCACGCGTGTTAGCTATGGAGCCGCAGTGAGCCCGCCCCCACGCAGCACAGACACAGGACACCCCACCCCGTGGTTGGCGGAGCCTGACGGACGCGATGGGGAGACGGGGCCAGCCTATCAGGTGCACCCTCAGCCCCCACACCTGCTTCAGCCTCAGAGGGCACCAGTCCACCTGTGCCCACACCCGTGCCCACAATGACAGGACGCACGCCCGGAGGCCGATGCCGACAGGCGGCGTCCAGGTGCTGGCGTGGCCCACGGTGCCCACGGCTGGGGGGGGGGGGGCGCTCACCTGCTTGGCGGGCTGCAGCGGGACTTTCCGCCCCCGGTCGCAGGCGGGCTCCAGGTCCGGCTCGGGGCTGCCCACCTCCGGGGGCCGGCCGTTCTCACTGGGCTCCGCCGGCGGGCCGTGCTCGGACTCCCGGGGCTTCTTGGCGAGGCGGCGCTCCCATTTCTCCTTCCGCTCCTGTGGCTTCAGGGCCATGTCCTTCTGCGGGAGGCGGGCGAGCAGGTTAACCGGCAGTGACCCTGGACCCTGCACCCAGGACCCAGGCGGCTCCAGCACTGCCTGTTGCCACCATCATCGAAGGTGACAGAGGCGGCCACGAGGAGATCCTGAGGGGAAGCCCAGGTGGGGCCCAGGCACCACCTGCCAGAGATCGACCTCTGCAACCCACCTGGGTCATGCGTACCTGACCGACAGGCAGGTGCCACCACAGACCCTGCACCCATGCCCGAATGCAGAGCGACCCTCCACGGTGGGCAGCACTGGTGTAGCGGTTCACAACCCCCAGTGGCTAAGGCAACGGCCCCGCCCTGAAGGCCCTGCACCCAGAACCCTCCTGGGCCCCAGGTGGCTCCGCTGCCCTGAAACCATGGTTCTCTGCAGCCACTTTATGGCTTAGTTCCCTGAAGCATCACAGCACCCAGCACCAAAGTTCCCAACTGCACCCACAACCCAGCCCTGAAGCTGTCATTGACAGTGGCAGACATCCTCCACGTCCCCTCCCTGGGGCCCAGGGCCCCCCTCTGGCCACGTGGGCACCCACCATGCCTGGCATCGGACCGCCTCTCCACGCCCTGCGCTTTGTGGGAGGAGGCCCTGTGGGGTGAACATGTCATCCCTAGCCAGGCCTGGAGCCCCTCCTTTTAGACTGGAGACCTGGACTCCCTTCCCCACTCAGTTCAGGATCAGGCCAGTCCCACCCGCCCCCCTGCAGGCTGGACACCCTGAAAAGGCCTCCCTGCCCTGGAAACTCTGGATCCTGCCTCATTACACCCGGGTCAGCCCCTGCTGCCCACCAGGAGACGGTCACTGTGACCACCCGGGCCACCCACAACCCACACTGGACTGGGATGAAATGTTCCCACCTCTGTCAGTTTCTGCTCTCCCAGCCTCCTGCCCGGACACTCAGCCCCTCCACCCCCATCACTGCACCAGGCAGCGTGCCCACTCCCCTCCGTCCAGGTCTGCACAGCGACCACTGCTGCTCCGCTGTCACCAGGGGGACGGAGGGACCACAGCCTGCCCTGCCCACGGGGGTGGGGGAGGCTCTTGGGGTGCTGTCCCAGGACAGGGGACAAAGAGAAAGAACACTGGACCAGCTCAGAGAGGAAGCCAGTCCCAGAGCAGGCCTGGTCCTGGTTGCATGGGGAGAAGCAGCTGTGAACTGGGGTCGCAGGCCTCACCCCCACCCCCACCGCCCCCCCGTCCTGCCAGCCTCGCAGGCACCTACTGGCCTGGCCGAGCCACCTGTCTGCTCCCCTGCCTGGGGCTTCCCACAGAGCCCTGGGCCTGGCGTGGCCGGTGCTCCGTAATGCTCAGCATGTAGGGGGAGACGGAGAGCTCGCCCTGCTGGCCAGCAACCCTCCCCAAGCCACAGCAGCCCAGGAACACGCCTGCCGCGGGCCACACGGACAGGCCCCCGGGAGGCGGCTCAGGCCTCGCCACCCTGGAGGGGGCGGGGGGGGGGGGGGGGGGACTCCAGGCGGCCAATCTGCTGACTACTTCCAACAGCTGGTCCCTCACCTCCTGGTCCCACCATTTCCCTCTCCCCACCTGCCTCCCCCGCGACAGCACCTCTAACTGGAACCACAGAGGGGCTGGACCGGGACGACTCTGTCCGTGTGGAGGGGCTGACGGCGCCCCTGCACCCCACTCCAGGACACAGGACCCAAAAACACAATGCCCCGCAGACCAGCTGTGCCCACACCCTGCTGGGGAACCCCTCACCCGATGCTCAGCCCCCAGTGCTAATTCCCGGGCACCTATGCCTCCAGGCACTCAGCAGAGGGAAGGAAGGAGAGACGGACAGCTCTGCACCCCCTGCCTTCGGGTGCTGGGGGGCACGGGACAGACAGGGAAACCGAGGCCCAAGACCCCTGCCATAGGGGAGCAAAGAAGGGGCTTGGGGACAGATGGTCCCTGCCCACAGGCATGGGGTGCGAGGCTCCTGAGCCTGGTTGGACGAGCAGCCAGCAGACACAGGGCCACAGCTTGAGGTGCCACCTCGGGAGCGTCCGCTCTGCGCGCCCACCACCCACCATGAACCTGTGGTGATGGGGGGGGGGGGGCTGCAGACCAGTGTGAGCCCGTGGTGCTGAGGGCGGCCCTTCCTGGAGTCCAGGCAGCGGCCCAGGCCTCGGGCACCTGCAGGCTGTCAGGCCAGCACCCTCCTGCTCCCTGACTCATCTCCCCACGCGAGGCGCTGACCCACAGAGCAGATGACGTGCAGGACCCCATCGCAGTCAGCGCGGCACCACCGGCCGCGGGCCACGTGCCGGCTCTGCTTGGGAAGGTGCAGCCCAATGCCATCCGATGGGGGTCCCAGGCATGTGCCACACCGCGCCCATGATTACAAGAGCTCGCCCTCCCGCCTCAGTTTCCCCATCTGAAGAGCAGAGGCACAGGCTCCTCCAGCACCAGCTCTCCTCACTGAGCTGTGCACTGACAGAGGTGGGGGTCCTCAGCCTCCCCCCCGAGGCAGGCACAGGGTCCCCTTAGGGCAGACACAGGCGGATGCGGCTGTGGGGACTGCCGTGAGCACGGGGTGGGGTGTGTCCGGGACACAGAGGGGCAGAGGGAAGAGAGACAGGGAGTCAGTTTGGGCTGCAAGGGGACGGGGGTCCCACCTCCTGACATGTATGTCCTATGGGCAGAGCGTGAAGCCGGACAGGCAGGGGCCTTGACTCATGGCCTCGGGCCTCAGTGTACCTATCGGTGCAGGGGGACGGGGGCCCCACCTCCCTGTGGGCAGAGCGTGGAGCCGGACAGGCAGGGGCCTTGACTCATGGCCTCGGGCCTCAGTGTACCTATCAGTGCAGGGGGACGGGGGCCCCACCTCCTTGTGGGCAGAACGTGGAGCCGGACAGGCAGGGGACTTGACTCATGGCCTCGGGCCTCAGTGTACCTATCGGTGCAGGGGGAAGCGGGCACGGCCAGCCTGTGAGAGCACACGTCCACCACATGCTGGCTACGAGAACCACTACACTCTGGCAAAAAACGAGGCCCTACCAGAGCGACAATCTACCAACCAGAGTGCCAACCTAGACGTCGCGACTCCTGCAAAAGCCCCAGACTTTCCCAGGCGGAGGGCCCCCCTGTGACCTGCTGGGCTGCTGGAGCCCGGGCCCCAAACCCAAGGCTGCCCTTTCGGTGCCTGGAGGCATCGCACGGACCCCCAGGCTCGTGTCACAGGGGCACGCCGATGGACCTCAGGACCAGACCAGCCTTCCCAAACCTCGGCCCACCTCTCGCCTGCCCACTCGATGACCTCACGGGGGCTGCACAGGGCAGGGCGCCTGCTCACACCTCGCTCACGCTTTCCGGGGGGGAGAACCACAGAGCAGAGCGAGCAGACCCAGAGGAAGGAGAGCCTGTGAAGTAACTGGGCCCCTCGAGGGACACCTGCTCAGAGGCCTCAAGGTGCCAAACTTGGACGGGGACAGAGGGGCCGGCAGACACACAGACGGGGCAGAAGCCAAAGGCACTGACGGGTGGGAGGGGGGTATCTGACCCGTTTTGGAGGCTGCAGCGGGGGGCCTGGCTTGGATGAAGGCAGAGAGCACCTCCCACCGGGCACTGCCACCACATCCCACCACACCACACCACACCACACACCACACCACAGGAGCAGGACGGCGGACCCCACGGCCTGCCCAGACAGAAAGCGGCAAACCCGTCCCGAGCCACCTTGCCTGGCGGCCAGCACCGGACCCTGAGCTTGCACAGACCCGGCAGACCCCAAGGAGAGGGGCCTGCCTTGTGGGCACCTCCCCTGCTGGGCTCACTGGCCCCCTAGCCTCCCCAAGCTCCAGGGAGCTGTGGAGCTGTGGCCAGAGCGACTGATCCCTGGGACCCCAAGCCCAGCAAGCCCAGCAGACCCTCAAGATAAGTGCTGAGGGTGGGGGCGCGGGCTGGAGGCTGCCAGGCCTCTTCTAGGAGAGGAAAGGAGTCGGCAGCTCCCTGCAGCCTCACACCCCCTCGCCAGCTCCCTGACAGCATTCACGTCCCTCTCCACTCACCTGGGCCCAGGCTGGCGAGCAGGGCAGTATTTGCTCAGCAAATATTGTCCGGGACAAGGCAGCCAGACAAGCACTATTTGTTGTCATCCCGTTAACAGTGTAGCGGAGAGAGAGCTCTGAGAGGTGACACCCCCCTCTCTCCGTCCACACAGAAGCCTCGAGGGGGAGGGAGGGAGGGAGGGAGGACAGGAAGAACCTCCAAGTATCCATTTTATCGCCGCCCCACCGCGTCCAGCCACGGCGCCTCCCCAGCGCCTCCCCAGCACATCCGGAGCCCGATGAAGCGACACTTTGATCGGGAGGAGACAATTGCCAAAAGGTCCGATTGTGCAGCCCGACGGGCCCCCTCTTGGACGTAGACAATGTTCCTCCCCAGGAGCCCGAGACGCGAACGCCCCCGGCACCCGGGAGCCCCGAAGGGGTGGGCGGGCCGCCGCCCCAGCCTGGGGTTCCCCGCGCCCCCCCGCGCCGCCGCACGCACCTCCAGGTTCCCCGCGCCCCCCCGCGCCGCCGCACGCACCTCCAGGGCCTCCAGCGAGCTGAAGCTGGCGATGGCGAAGCCGTCGATGACCTCCTCCTCCTGCGAGCTGGACTCGCGGCGGCGGCGGCGCGGGGGGCGCGCGGCGGCGGCGCGGGGCGGGGGCGCGCGGGGCAGGCCCGCGTTCTCCTTGCCGGGCCCGGGCTCGGGCTCCTCGCCCGACGAGGCGCTCTGGTCGCGGGCGTCGCGGGCCGCCTCCCGGCGCCGGCCCCGGTCCCGCTGCGCGCGCGAGCGGCGGCTCGGGCGGACCTTGGCCTCCATGGCGCGCGGTGACCTTGCGGCCGCGCCGTCGGGCTCCGGCTGCCGCTGCGCTACGCGTGGCCGCCGGCGAGCTCGGTGCGGGCCGCGCGGGCGGGGGCCGTGGGCGGCGGCGGCGGCGGGCGGCGGGCCGGGCCGGGCATGCCGCGCCGGAGCCCTCAGCCCTGGGCCCGGAGCGGCCCGGGCGCCGCGGGGCGGGCGGCCGCGCGCATCGGCGGGGCGGGCGGCGCTCAGCGGCTGCGGGCCGCCTCGGCGGGGGCGCGCCCCATGCGCGGCGGGCGGCGGGCCGGGCGGGCGTCGTCGGGGCGCGGGCTGGAGTGAGGCGCCCGGGACCGTGAGGCGGCGACGGCGGCGGCGGGGACCGGAGCTGATAACAACTGACGTACTTCCGCCCGGCAGCCGGCGCCAGAGGAAGTGGGCGCTCCAGCGGCCCGGCGCGAGCCCCGCCCAGGACACGCCCCTCCTCCGCCCGGCACGCCCAGGGGCGTCCCTTCCAGCCCCGCGGCGCCCGGAACACGCCCCTTCTAGGCCCCGCCCAGGCTGTGCTCTTGCGCTTTCGGCCACACCTGCCCAGGCCCCGCCCCCTCAAGCGCCATTGGCTGAGCCTCGTAGCCCCGCCTCCTACTAACCAGGCCCAACCCCTTTAGGCCCCGCCCCGCCAGCTCACCGTTGGCTGCGCCTCGTAGCCACGCCTCCCGCTGGCTAGGCCCAACCCCTTTAGGCCCCGCCCCACGGGCCCTCGCGCCGTTGGCTGCGCCCTGTAGCCCTGTCTCCCGCTGATAGGCCCAACCTCTTTAGGCCCCGCCCTCCCCGACAGCGCGCCTCTGCCAAGCCCCGCCCCCGTATAAGCCCCGCCCGTGTGGGTGGGGCTTTGACGACCCGCCCCTCTCTGGTCTCCCTGGCCCTCCCCGTTGCACAGGCGAGGTTTCGGGGGGCGGGAACGCCACCCTTTCTCCGGAGTGCGGGCCGAGGGGTCCCTAGGCCGCAGTCGCGGCCACGCTTCCGGAAGGCACTTGCAATGAGAGCACGTGGGCAGAGAGCGGGGGACCCATCCAGCCCGACGGGACACGTGGTGGAGGGTCACGCTCACCGTCACCCCAGAGCTGGAGGTCGGCACGGGGTGTGCAGGATGGGATGTTCCGGTCCCCACTCCGGACACGGGGGGGGCGGGGGAGGTCTGGCTGGGCGAGTTCTCACGGAGCCTAGAGGCCCCGCCCACCTGCCTGGGGATGTGAAGGCCAGGGGAGGGGTTCTTGGCTTCAGCCCCACCCCCATCCCTGCCCAAGCTGTCTCCCCCTCCCCCTGCCCTTCCTGTCAGGCTCCCCCTGTTCCCCACCCCGTAGACAGCCCCCAGGTTCAGGTCTGAGGGGGGGAGTTCTCACGGGGTCTGGTCCCCAGGGGTCAGGCAGGTCTCCCCAGGCCAGTACCCCGACCCCAAGGCTCCCTGTGGGGACCGCCTGGCCCTTCCAGACGGGAGGCCCCTGGGATGGCATCCTGGGCTTCCAGGTTTGCACAGAAACAGCCCCCCATCCCCGGTCCCAACTCGCCCCCTCCCCGGCCCCAGCTCACCCCTTCCCAGGCCCTGCCCCGTACCCCACCCAAGAGGACCTGTCCTTCCCGGGAGAAGGGATCCACACCACGGACACTGCCCACCCCAGCCGGCCTTGGAAGCACTGACCCATCACCCTGTGGCTGCAGCCAGGTCGCCCCTGGTCCCACCCCACAGCCAGGCCTCCCCTGGTCCCACCCCACCGCCCGCCCTCCCCTGGCCACCGCACCCAGAGCTGAGAGGCCCGGTGACTCTGGGACTCTGAGCATCATTAATGGACAGGAACTTGTATTCACCATTCCGTTTCCTCTCGCCGACCCGACTCAGCCCCGGGCCTCGGCTCCGGCTCCAGTGGGGTTTCTGCAGACGCTCTGCGCGCAGCCCACTGACCGGTCGGCCCGGGACCCGGAACGCCGTGTGCCCACCACGGGAGGGTCTGGTTGCTCCCTGCTTCCCGGCCCCGGGGAACGGGCAGCACCTCGGTGTGTTTGGATGCTCAGCCCCTTCCCTGGCGCTGGCTCATGGGGGTGGGGGCGGCAGCTGCCCTCCGGCCCGGCCAGGGAACGGGCAGGTGCGGCGGCTCCGGCAGCAATCAGGCTGCGGAACCAGCATCCCCCGGCTCCCATGTTTAGTCTTGGCCACGGATCTGCAGGTCGACGGAGGACGGCTGTGCTTTGGACGGAGGGTCAGGTTCAGGTCTGTCCCAGGAGGGTCTCTCGGACCCGGGCCGCGGGAAATGCGACAGCTGGGGCCAAGTCCCCCCACCCCCACCCCGGGCACGTGGCTCCCTCTGCTTTAGGCCTCGCCCTGTCAGCTCACAGGCCAAGTCCGGGGTCCCCGGGGCACTAAGTGGAGCCCCCCTTTCCAGTGGGGGCAGCAGCCATGTGGCCAGGAGGTGTGTGTGGAGGCGGGGGTGTGGTCCTGCTCTGAGGGGCACTTCTGCCCCCTGAGCCTCTTCCCCTCATTCCTTCCCCTCAAGATCTGCTCTGGGTTGGATTCTGGACCCACTTCTACTCGGGGCTGCCAACTGTCCAGACTCCCCCAAACCCCCACCCCTACCCGCTGGTCACGCCCTCCCTCTCCCTCAGCCCTCCCCCAGGCCAGGGTGGCTCTGGCTGGGTCTGTCCTAGCGGCGGGGCTGCAGTGTCCCTCGGAATTAATTCCCCGGGGTCAGCGTCACCCTCAGGGCCCCGTGCACGCCCGGCCGGCCGGCAGTCTGTGCCCGGAGGCCCCGCCAGGTGCCAGGTTTTGCCACCGTCCCACGTGCAGGAGGGTGGGGATGGGGGCGTTTTAGACGTGTGTCCCACAGGGTGCGGGAGCTGAGTGCACAGAACTCCACACGCTCCAGTTGCTGTTCTTTTTTTTTTTTTTTTTTGGTTGTTGTTGATCCTCACCCGAGGATATCTTCCCATTGACTTTTAAAAAATATACATTTCTTTATTGAGTTCAGAGAGGAAGGGAGAAGGAGAGAGAGACAGAACCATCAGTGATGAGAGAGAATCATTCATTGATTGGCCACATCAATGAATGCCCCACACTGGGGATCAAGCCCGAAACCCAGGCACGCGCCCTTGGCTAGAATCGAACCTGGGACCCTTCAACCCGCAGGCTGACACTCTACCCACTGAGCCAAGCCCCACTGATTAAAATATATATGTATATATAATATATATGTATATATGTTTTATTGATTTTTTACAGAGAGGAAGGGAGAGGAATAGAGAGTTAGGAACATTCATGAGAGAGAAACATTGATCAGCTGCCTCCTGCAGGCCGTTGCTCTATCCACTGAGCCACACCGGTTAGGGCCCCAGTGATTGTTAGAGAGAGTGGAAGAGAGAGGGAAGACAGAGAGAAACATCGGTGTGAGAGGAACACAGCAGTTGGTTGCCACCTGCACGTGCCCAGACCAGGATTGGGGCCTGAGAGGAACATGCCCATGATCGGAGTCGAATCCGGGAGGGACCCTTCAGTCCACAGGCGGATGCTCTATCCACGGAGCCACACCGGTCAGGGAATTTTAATGTTATCTCACTGGTTTTTAGAGAAAGGAAAGGAGAGAGAGTGACATGGGTGGGCTGCCTCCCGCACCCCCTCGCTGCTGCACCCGGAACAGGAACCCGCCTGGGGACGCCCCCTGATCGGGCCCCCAGCGCGGGGACGAGGCTCCACCAGGACCCACGCCGGCCAGGGCACCGTGTTCCTCCTCTGCTCTGGCTCCCGGACTCTCGCAGGAGCCGGTCCTGGTCCCCGGGGCCACGGAGGCCGGAATCTCGGGTTAGCCCGGGTCACGTGTGCTGACCGAGCGCAGGCGCTGGGCTCCGGGGGGGGGGGGGGGAGACCTGACACCACGGCTCCGGCAGCGTCTTCGTTTTGAAGATTCCGAGCCCGATCAGAGGGACTCCACCGCGGCTCTCCGGCCACCGCGGAGGCGTTGGGAGAAGCCCCACACCCCTCTCCCCGCCACGGCCCTCACGCCCGCCCACCCCACCCACAGGGCTTCCCCCCCCCCCCCGCCCGTTTCTACCGGTCACACCTGAATCTCCTTATGTCCCTGTTCTACGACTCTTTCTGTTTTTTATTTTTTTACTTATTTATCTTTTAAAATATATTTTATTGATTTTTCCACAGAGAGGAAGGGAGAGGGATAGAGAGCTAGAAACGTCGATGAGATAGAAACATCGACCAGCTGCCCCCTGCATACCCTCCACTGGGGATGTGTTGTCAACCAAGGTCCATGCCCTTGACTGGATAGGAACCCGGGACCTTTCAGTCCGCAGGCCGACGCTCCATCCACTGAGCCACACCGGTCAGGGCCTCTCTCTCTTTTTAAAAAATTATGTGTCTAAAAAAGTGTATTTATTGATTTCAGAGAGGAAGGAAGAGGGAGAGGGGAACATCCATAAGGAAAATCGGGGACCGGCTGCCTCCTGCACTCCCCACCCTGGGGATTAAGCCCACAACCAGGGCCTGTGCCCTGACCGGGAATCGAACCCTGACCTCCTGGTTCCTAGGTCAATGCTCAGCCCCGGAGCCACACCGGCCGGGCTTTGGGGAGCATGTGTGTGGCCTGGGAGCTGGTTGGACCTGGTCTCCTGCCGAACCCGGACCTGGGCGTGGGCGGGGAAGGAGGCGGGCACCCCTGGCTCACACTTTGGCCGGGTTCGGTCAGGGTTCGGGCAGGGCCCCTGAGAGTGCCCTGAGGAGGGGGGCAGGGTGGGGTGCTGTGGGATCAGGGTGAGGAGGGTGGGCAGGCGTCCCTCCCCTCCCTCCCCAAGGGGCTCCCGCCACCTGCCCTGCCCGGGGAGGGCGTCTGGCTCTCCAGCCCAGGCTGCTGCCGCTGGGAGCAGGCCTCCCCGGTCGTGGGCGCCCTCTGACCCCGGCAGGCGGCCTGGCCAGGGCCCCAGGGAGCGGCCACGCTGCCAGCTGGCCCACGCGCTCCTGCGGGCTTCTC